GGTGAGAAGGGAAAACAAAATTGGGCTCAAAACAAACGTTCTGGATGTCATCAGTCAATGACTTCGAGAAGTCGAGTTAATTTCTCCTTTCCGTTCAGGCACGAGAGATAGTGACCCCGGCCCTGTTAAGGACTCGCGCCGGCCCTGTGCATTCCCAGAGACATGGCAGCATTTCTATCTGTGTGTGCTCAAACTCAGTAAGCCCTAATCTGGGGGTGGGTGTTCGCGCCGCTCCCTTCCATCTTCCCCGGGGAGGATTATCCCGGGGTGGCCCCCGAGACTTCGAGAAGGTTCGTGGCGGGGCACATGCTAGCACCCGCCCCGGGGCCTCGCGGCCCATCAAAAAAGGCGCCCGGATGTGCACGTTAGGAGCCGCGTTCTACCCATGAGGCCGTGCGCGCTCTTATATTGGGGGGGGGGGAGTTCTCGGCGAACCTCAGTTGGCGCTGGAAGGCTCGGGCTCGCCGGCCTCTCCGCGCTCCTCCCTTTCCGCTCGGCCTCCGCTCCGCCTCCGCCCCCGCTCTGGTCCCCCTTCCCCCCCCCGTCCCCCTCCTCCCCTCCGCCGCCGCCTCCTCCTCTTCCTCCTCCTGGCTCCCGCCGCTCCTCCTCCTCCTCCTCCTCCGGGCTCCGGACGTCCTGCAGCGTCGTGGGTAAGCCTCTCCGCACCTCCCCGCCCGCGGGGCCAGGGAAGCGGCCGGCCGCGAAGCGCACCGGGCGGGGGCGTGGGGGGGGCGGCTTTCCCTGGCTGAGGAGAATGGGGCCGCGGTGCCTGGACGGCCCACCATCTTGTTTCGGCCCCGGGGAGGGGAGGGTTTTTCGGGGAGGTCGCCGGGGCAACGCCGAGCTGCGGCTGTCGCCGGCGGGGGGGGGGGGAATGGAGAGCGCCAGCCGCCGCCTCCGAGGCCTGGAGCGTGCGAGCGTGGGCCCCTCGCCAGCGGGTCCCGGGGGCCGCGCGCGGTGAGGAGGCGTGGGGGGCCGCGCGGCCTCCGAACCTTCCTGCCTTCGCTTTCTCGGGGCCCCCTCCGTCCGCTTTTTTTTTTTTTTTTTGGTCCCCTGGATGCTGGTTGTCCCTTTTGAAGGTTGGCTAGCGATGCCAGCCTCCCGTGCGCTGGTCTCCGCTGTCTGGGGCTGAGGCTGCCAGGCCGATGGGAACTTCGCCGCCTCAGGCTCCCCTTGGGGTCTCCTGCCCAACCCCTTTCCCAGGACCATGAGCAGTTTTCCTGTGACGGTGCCCTTATGCTTCCCAAAGGGACTGCCCTCCTCTGTCACAGAAATCTTGCTCTATTTAGTCATTGTCTAGACTCTAGGGGATAAAAGCCCGGAGGGCAGGGGCGTGGACTTAGGTGTATGATTTTCCATCAGTGTGCAGGGTTTTAGCGATGGGGCGAGCATCCCGATGGGGCGAGCATCCCACTCTGAGGAGAGAAACCTGCACACGTCCGAGCCCTTCTCAATGTGCATGATTTTCCATCAGTGTGCAGGGTTTTAGCGATGGGGCGAGCATCCCACTCTGAGGAGAGAAACCTGCACACGTCTGAGCCCTTCTCAATGTGCATGATTTTCCATCAGTGTGCAGGGTTTTAGCGATGGGGCGAGCATCCCACTCTGAGGAGAGAAACCTGCACACATGCGAGCCCTCCTCAATGTGCATGATTTTCTATCAGTGTGCAGGGTTTTAGCGATGGGGCGAGCAACCCACTCAGAGGAGAGAAACCTGCACACATGCGAGCCCTTCTCAATGTGCATGATTTTCCATCAGTGTGCAGGGTTTTAGCGATGGGGCGAGCATCCCACTCTGAGGAGAGAAACCTGCACACATGCGAGCCCTTCTCAATGTGCATGATTTTCCATCAGTGTGCAGGGTTTTAGCGATGGGGCGAGCATCCCACTCTGAGGAGGGAAACCTGCACACGTCCGAGCCCTTCTCAATGTGCCTGAAGTTTGAATTCTTTTCAGGCAGAAGTTTCTGTGTCAAGAGAACCACTTGCTTCTCAATGTGGGAGACCCTGTCCAAGGACCGCTCTTTGAAAGATTTGCTAATTTTTTCTTTTAAATCTTTGAGCTTATTTTTTTTTTTGTTCTTGTTGTTGTTTTGTTTTGTTTTTCTCTTGGTTGGGAGTTGGATTATGAGTTTTAATATCTTTAAAACTATTTCTTACCTAAAAACAGTTGTTTGTTTGCTTTTTGGGTTTGGATTTCCCGCCCCCCCCCCCCCCGGTTTTGGTTTTTCGAGACAGGGTTTCTCTGTGCCCTGTAACTAGCTATTATACACCAGGCTGGTCTCAATCTCACAGAGATCTGCCTGCCTCTGCCTCCCAAATGCTGGGTTTAAAGGCGTGCGCCAACACCACCCGGCTTCCTAAAAGTTTTAAACTACAAAAATCTCATAGATGTTTGTGAGGTGTCTTATTTTGAAAGTTACAGATAAATTCAAGCTATCTTATGTAAAAAAAAAAAAAGCTGAATCTATTAAGGCACAACTTTGCTTATAAAATTCAATTGAATTTCTGTGATTGGTTTTAATATCTGTGCAAATGCAATTATTATAGCATTTGAGTGTTACTAATGGCACTCCTTTACAGGGCAGTGAAGTATTAGAACTGTCAGTGAAGTATTAGAACTGTTTTAAAGGGGGGAAAATAGCCTTAAGGTGTTATGTGGTTCATAAATAGAACCAGCTATGCTGGGTTTTTTCTTTTAAATTACATTTATCGAGAAGGGAGCTGGAGAGATGGCTCAGCAGTTAAGAGCACTGACTGCTCTTCCAGAGGACCCGGGTTCAATTTCCAGCACCCACATGGCAGCCCACAGCTGTCTGTAACTCCAGTTCCAGATTTAATACCTTCGCATCAATGCACATAAAACAAATCATTAAAATAAATATGGTGTGCCGGGTAATAGTGTTGCGCATCTCTATTTTAAATGACATTTATCTATAATATTTTTTTTTTGGTGTGTGTGGGTGTGCAATACAGTTGAGAGGTTAGAAGACAACTTGGTAGTATTAAGATTGTACTTCTGTATTTGCAAATGTGTGTGTGTGTATTCATATAAACATTTCTCTATATAATGAAAAAGAGATCAAGGGAGGATATATAGGAGGGTATGGAGGAAGAAAAGGGAAGAGGGAAATGATGTGATTATAATCCCCAAAAATCAATAATTGATCCAGGCAGTAGTGGTGCATGCTTTTAATACCAGTACTCCTGAAACATAGGCAGGTGGATCACTGAGTTTGAAGTCAGCCTGATCTACATTGTGAGTTTCAGGATAGCCAGGGCTATACAGAGAAACCCTGTCCTAAAACAAACAAACAAATAAATAAATACAAATTTAAATCCCTGGCACTGCAAAAAAAGTTTGTCATGCATGCATAGGAGGCAAAATTAAAATTTTTGGAAAATGGTATCAGTTTGTTAGGGTTTTCTTTTGCATGTCAATCCCAAATTACTGTTTTCAAGTATTGCTATTCAAGGCTATTCTAAGGTGCCTCAAGGATTCCATTTCTACCTCCTGAGTACTGGGATTACAGGTGGCTGCCACATAGGCTCAGCTTTTTATTTTATGTGTATGGATGCTTACCTACTTGTTATGTCTGTGTACCACATGCACACCTGTGGTTGCCCTTGGGAACCAGTGAACTACAGTTACAGATGGTTGTGAGCAACATGTGGGTGCTGGGAATTGAGCTCAAGACCCCTGGAAGAGCAGCGGTTTTTGTTTGATTTTTGTTTTGAGGCAGGTCCTTGGCTAGCCTGAAATTCACTGTATGTAGGTCAGGTTTGCCTTAACTCAAAGATCTACCTGTCCCTGTCTCCTGAGTGCTGGGACTAAAGGTGTACACTGTCATGCCTAGTTCATAACCATATTTTAAGAATGTGGCACTAAGCTGGCATGATAACACATACTTGTAATCCTATCACTCAGACTGAGGCAAGGCAGTTGTGAGGTTTGGGCCAGCCTGAGGTTATATAATGAGTTCTAGCACAGGTCAGCCCAAATTACATAGAAAATCCCTACGTGTCACAGAAACAAAACAACAAAAACAGCAACCCCAAAGGAGTGAGGCACTAAATATGAACTGTGTGATTATTCAGAACTGTTAGTACTTGCAGTAAATCCTTTGTTTAATCTCTTGAGATGAGAAATGTCTACTCCACCCTGGAATAGAATAAGCTTCTCCATTTTCCCTATTTTCATCCTAGTATCTCCTTATCCTTTGTTCCAAACCCTAATATCCATGAATCTGATACAGTTTTCTCCCCCTTCCAATCTAGTCGCCTCTTATTCTTGCTTTATATCCCCTTTTAAAATACAAGTAGTGGGTTTTGTTTCAGATAATAATTATATACTGTCTACCTTTTTGAATGTATAATCATATCCTAGTCCATATAACATGAACTTAGTTTGACTGAATTTGATCTTAAATGTTTTCCCACCTAGGGCTAGAGAGATAGCTTATCAGTTAAGAGCACTGGTTGTTCTTCCATAGGACCCCAGTTTGGTTTTCAGAACCCACATAGCTGCCAAAACATTCCAGTTCCAGATGATGCCACTCCCTCTTCTAGCTTCTGCAGGTATTGCATGCATGTGGTGCACAGACATACATGCAAACAAAGCATCTATATATTTAAAGCAAAAATCTCAAAAAGAAAATTTTGGTCACTGTTACTCAACTGTTGTACTCAATCTTCTAGCTACCTAGCCAATTTTTACTAGCTTTGTTTTGAGTCAGGGCTTTATTGTGTAGAGCAGGCTGGCCTCAAAAGACACTATTCTGTTACTTCAACCTCCTTAATTAATGGTGAGTAAGGTTTCAGGGGTACACCACTACACTGAGCTCCTAGTTTAGATATTACAGATTGTTTCCTCAGTTTATTCTTACTATGTATATGTTATGTGGTTATTCAGTTATTCAGTAGTTTCTCTTAGGATTATTAACATTTATCTTAGCATACATCCTGTTACAAAAAAAAATTTCCTTTTTGAATCAAAAATAAGGGTTATTTCTCTTCTTTTGGAAATTAGATCATTCAAAAATGGCCGAACTTTTCATGGAATGTGAAGAAGAAGATTTGGAACCTTGGCAGCAGAAAGCAGAAGAAATTCAAAATAAAGATGACGATGATGAGTTGATCTTTGTTGGAGAGATATCAAGTTCCAAACCAGCCATTTCAAGTAAGCATTTACTTTTTTGAGTGGGAAAAAAACTGTGACTGCTTTATTTTCAGTACTTGATATATTTGTTCTGTTCAAAGCTTAGAAGTAAAGCAAGATAGTTCTAGGGAAATGCCCTGCAAGCCACAAGTACTGGGATTTGGATCCCCAGAAGCCATGTGAATGCTAACCGGGACTGGCAAGACTTCCTGTAATCCAAACTCTTAGAAAACAGAGACAGCCTGCATTCTAGGTCTTATATGATAGAGATCCTACTTTTTTTCACATTTTTAAAATTTATTTTATATAACCAAATCCATTTAAATGAAAACAAACATTTATAGACAATATTTGGGAATTTGGGTGTCGTTCTTTCCAAACTACTTCCTGCTGGTAAGGGGATGCAGAAATCCTGGCTGTAGTCTGTCAGGCTGCTTTGTCCAGCTGTTTTGAATGTAGGATCACCTTGTACTCTGTTTCAGGCGGTCTGGCTTGATCAAACCACATTAGTCTGGAAGGAATCCACAGCTTTTCATTTTCTGTGGAAACAAAAATAGAAATCCTTTTCCCCAGTAACTTGTCCTTGAGCTTAAATTTTGGAGTCAAAGCATTTTTTTTATTTATTATTTTACATGTCGATCCCAGTTCCCTCTTCCTCCCTCCCTTCTTTTTTCCCTCCCTCCTGCCCTCTCTCCCTCTTACCCTCTCTGCCCTCTCACATGCACTCTAACCACCCTCCCCTCCCATCCCCCCAACCCAATTCCATATGCCATCCAGTTGGGTCATGTAGATCTGACAGGTCCTGTGAAGTAGGGACTAGGGCTTCTCTCCTGTCTCTAGATTAAGGCAGTATCCCTCCATGGGGGATGTGTTCGCCAGGTCCTTTTGTGCACCAGGGATACATCCTGGCTCCACCGTCTGAGGTCTCTTAGACTGCTCAGTCCTTCTGGCTGAGACCCATATTCAGGGGGTCTGAGTCAATCCATGCTGGATTCCCAGCTATCAGTCTGGAGGCCCGTTAGCTCCTCCTTGTTCAGGTCAGCTGTCTCTATGTGTTTCTGCAGCCTGGTCTTGTCCTCTCCATCTGCATCTGGATTCTAGTTTGACTCAGTGTTTAGGTATGGGTGTTTGTTCCTGTTTCCCAAAGGCATTAGATGAGGGCTCCATGGATAAGTTAGTTGTTAATCTCACTATCCGGGAAGGGCATAGCCTGGCTCTGTGGCGCAATGGATAGCGCATTGGACTTCTAGAGATCCTGCTTTTAAAATATTTTAATTACATATATATTTAGTGAATGTGTGTTTGTGTGGGGGGGAGAGTGTTGTACATGAGCATGCCATGACATGTGAATGGAGGGTAGGGGACTGTAAGGAGTAAGGTTTTTCCTCCCGTCAGGTCTTGTTCCACTGCAGCGCCAGCCCCAAATAACTCACAGAGACTCTGTATTTGATATAATGCTGTTGGCTAGTTACTTGTTTCTTATTGGCTAGCTCTGTCCTAAGTATTAACCCATTTCTATGTATTTCCATGTGGTCTTACGTGGTCTTCTTACCAGGGAAAGGGGCCACCGTCCTTCTCCCCAGTCTCTCCATCTTGACTCCTCCTTACTACTTCCTCTTTCCTCCTTATCTCCTAGCCCCTCCTATCTTCTTTTCCTATTGGCCAACAGTGCTTTATTCATTAACCAGTATGAGAAACATATATACATAATGGCATCTCCCATCAGGGGATAACTTGCAGAAATGGGTTTTCTCTTTTCTACTCTATGGCTCCTGGGGATCAAACTTATGTCGTCAAGCACCTATACTCACAGAGACATCTCACCAGCCCCCCCTAGTTTGTTTATTTGTGTGTAGAGGTTCCTTTCATTGAAAATGGATATTTTTCTCACATAATATATATCCTGATTATGTTTTACCCTCACTTTACTCCTCCCAGTTTCTCCCTACCTCCCCTTCCATTCAGATCCATCCCTTTTCTGTCTTTCATTAGAAGACAAATAGGCTTCTAAAGGATAGTAAAAAAATAAAGTAAGATTTTTTTTAAAACCCTAACACATCATAGTAGGACATCATAAACAAACAGAAGGAAAAGTGTCCCCCAAAATGCACAAGAAATAGATATATAGAGAATCGCTCATTCATACACCTAAGCATCCCATAAAAACATTAAACTGAAAGCCATAATATATATGCAAAATTAGAGAAGAAGAAAATATAAGTATGTATTAAACAAAATGAAAATTAAAAATAAGATAAAATTTTAAAAAGAAAGAGCCCTGCCAGGACATTATGAAATAAAGAACGTCCAAATGTGTATTGAATTCATTTTCAGGGCTTGCAGCGTAACCTTAAGAGTAGGTAGTTTCCCCAGTGAGAGTCCCTTAGAGAAAATTAAATTTTCATTTGCAAATGGTTATCAATTGGGAAATGCTTCTGGATTAGTAGTAGGAACATGTGTCTACTTCTTAAAGCTCTAGGACTCCATCTGGTGCAGACCTATGCAGGTCCTGTGCATGCTGCCTGGGTCTATGAATTCATATGTGCATCAGTCTTGTTGATTTAGATGACCTTGTTTCCTTGGTGTCCTCCATCCCCACTGGCTCTTACATTCCTGCCTCCTCAAGGGTTCCCTAAGTTCTGAAGGGAGAGATTTGATGGAGATATACTGTTTGGGGCTAAATGTTCTGAGGTTTCTCATTCTCTTCATATTGTCTGCCTTTGGGTCTCTATATTTGTTCCCATGTGCTGTAGGAGGAAGCGTCTGATGATGGCTAAGCAAAGCACTGATCTATAAGTATAGCAGAATATAATTAGGAGTCATTTTATTCCTATATTTACTTGTTTGTTAGTTTGTTTTATAACAGCAATGTCTGGTTTTACCCTAGGTCCCTGGGCTATCTAGACTTAGGTTCTTTGTCACACAAGCAGTGTCAGATATGGGTTCCATCTTAAATCATTTCAGGTATTGTTTGGTTACTCCCACGAACTCTGTGCCACCACTACCCTAGCATTTTTTTTTTTTTTTCGAGACAAGGGTTTCCCAGTGTAGCTTTGTAGACCAGGCTTGGCCTCGAACTCACAGAAATCTGCCTGCCTTTACCTATTGAGTGCTGGGATTAAAGGCGTGTGCCACCACTTTGGGGCCACTCTAACATGTCTTGCAGGCAGTACACCATTGTAGATAGAGGTTTTGTGGCTGGATTGGTGTTTATGTTTCTTTTTTGAGAGCATGTGGAATATGTTCCTGTACCAAAGACATTGGAATATAGGGATGAAGATTGTATGTAGGCACCAGCTCAACAAGTTCAAATGAGGTGTTGTCTTCAACAATGGGATCTTGCTGTCATTTTGCGAAGGGCAACCTTTTGTCTTGGCAACAGCGTGGGTTGTTTGGGGATTCACATGGAATCCTCTAATGGCCCTTGATTTTAGCTGTTTATTCCCATATTTCCTCCTCCCACTTCTCTCCCCATCCCTACTTGATTCTCCCATTCCAATCCCTCCAAGCATCCATAATTATTCTATTTCTCTTTTCTTATTAGTTTGTACCCCCACCCCCAGCCCCTTTACCCTATTCCTAATCTTTGTGGGTCTATGGATTATGGCTTCATTCATTAACATTGACTTAACAGATGTTAATATACATATATAAACAAATGTATACCACACTTGTCTTTCTGGGTCTGGCATGCCTCAGTCAGGATGATTTTTTTCTAGTGCCATCCATTTACTTGCAAATTTCAAGATTGCATTTTCTAAACAACTGAGTAATACTTAATTGTTTTATCAATCTTAGCTGGTGTGATATGTGAAAATGAAATCTTAATATTTTTGGTTTGCCTTTCTCTGATGGCCAAGGATGATGGATATTACTTTAAGTATTTTTCAGCCATTTTGGTTTCTTCTATTTTACAGTCTCTGTTTAGATCTGTATCCCATTTTTAAATTGGGTTACTTATTTTCTTGATACCTAGGTTTTTGAGTTCTTTATATATTTTTGATATTTGCCCTCTATTGGAGTATAGTTGGAAAAAAAAAACTTTTCCCATTCTGTAGGCTGTCACATTTTCTGAATGACAGTGTCTTTTCCATGGAGAAGTTTCTCAGTTTTATGAAGTCCCATTAGTTATTTGTTCATTTTAGTGCCTGTGCTAACAATATTCTCTTCAGAAAGTCTTTTACTGTGACCATGAGTTCAAGGCTATTCTCCATTTTATCATCTATAAGGTTCTCAGTATATCTGAATTTATTTTGAAATCTAGGGTTGAGTTTTGTGCTGGGTGATGAGTATGGATCTATTTGGATTCTTTTACATACAGGAGTCCAGTTTGACCAGCATCATTTGTTGAAGATGCTTTCTTTTATTTCCATGTATATTTCTGAGCTTATTTATTTATTTGTTTGTTTATTTATTTATTTTTAAATAGGTTTCCATAAGTGTGTGGATTTATGGCTGGGTCTTTAATTAAATTCTATTGACAAACATGTCTGATTTTGTGCCAATACCATGCTGTTTTTTATTATTATACCTCTGTAGTACAACTTGAAATCAAGGTTGATGATAGCATCAGAAGTTGTTTTATTGTACAGGATTGTTTTAGTTGTCCTGGAATTTTTGTGTTTCCGTATGAAGTTGAGAATTATCCTCTCAAGATCTGTGAAGAATGGTGTTGGAATTTTAATGGGGATTGCAATGAATCTGTGCATTGATTTTGGTAGCATGGCCATTTTCACTATGTTAATCCTACTGATCATAAGAATGGAGATCTTTCCTTCTTCTAATATCTTCTTCAATTTCTTCCAGTGCCTTAACATTTTTATCATACAAGTCTTTCATTTGCTTGGCTAGAGTTACTCCAGGATGTTTTATATTATTAGAGGCTATTGTGAAAGGTGTTATTTTCCTGATTGCTTTCTCAGAGCATTTGTAGGAGGCTATAGATTTTTGTGAATTAATTTATATGCAGCTACTTTGCCAAAGTATTCAGCTATAGGAGTTTCCCATTGAAATTTTATGGCCCCTTGTACATACACTATTACATCATCTGCAAATAAAGATACTTTGACTTCTTTCTTTCAGATTTATATTCCCTTGTTTCCTTTAGTTGTCTTATTGTTCTAAGATGTCAAATACTATATTGAATAAAAATGGAGAGAGTAGACAACCTTATCTTCTTTCTGATTTTAGTGGAATTGCTTTGAGTTTCTATTTAAGTTGATGTTGGCTATGGGCTTGCTGTAAATTACCTTTATTATGTTTAGGTACGCCTCTTCTCTCCCTAAGCTCTCTAGTGCTTTTATGATGAAGGGTATTAAATTTTTACCAAAGGCTTATTCAGCATCTAATGAGATGATCATGTGATTTTTGTCTTTCAGTTTGTTTATATGGTGGATTACATTTATCGATTTGCGTATGTTGAACCATCCCTGAATCTCTGGGATGAAGCCTACTTGATCATGCTGGATGATCTTTTTGGTGTATTCTTGGATTTGCTTTGCAAGTATTTTTTGAGAGTTTTATGTCTGTGTTTGTAAGGGAAATTGGTCTATAATTCTTTGTTGGATTTTTATGTGGTTTGGGTATCAGGGTAACTGGCTTCAAAAAGAAATGGACAATGTTCTGTTTCTACTTCATGGAAAAATTCGAGGAGTTTTGGTGTTTACTCTTCTTTGAAAGTCTTGTAGAATTCTGCACTAAAACCATCTGGACCTGAACTTTTATTTTAGATGGAAGGTTGGGAGACTTTTACTGCTTCTATTTCACTAGGGGTTATAGATCTGTTTAAATTGTTTATCTGACCTTGATTTAACTTTGGTAAGTGGCATCTATTAAGAAAATTATCCATTTCTTTTCAATTTTCCAATATGGTGGAGTATTGGTTTTTATTTGTTTGTTTTTCTTATTTTACATATCGATCCCACTTCCCTCCCTCTCCCACCCTCCCAGGCCCCCCGACCACCCTCCCATCCCATCTGCCCCCCACTCCACAGGTAGGGTGATGCCTTCCAGGAGGGGTCATATAAATCTGTCAAGTCATTTGGAGTAGGGACTAGGCCCTCCCTCCTGCCTCTAGGTTAAGGGAGTATCCCTCCATGGGAATGTGCTCCCAAAGTTCTTTCCTGTACTAGGGATACATCCTGGTTTCACTGTCAGAGGTCCCATAGACTGCCCAGGCCTTCTAACTGAGACCCATGTTCAGGGGGCCTGAGTTAGTCCAGTGCTGGTTTCCCAGCTATCAGTCTGGGGGCCCATTAGCTCCTCCTTGTTCAGGTCAGCTGTCTCTGTGGATTTCTGCATTGTGGTCTTGTCCTCCCTCTCTGCATCTGGATTCCAGTTCTGCTCAGTGTTCAGCTGTGGGCGTCTGCTTCTGTTTCCATCAGCTACTAGATGAGGGCTCCATGATGGTGGATAAGTTAGTCATCAATCTCATTATCAGGGAAGAGCATTTATGGTAGCCTTTCCACTGTTGCTCTAATTGTTAGATGAGGTCAGTCTTGCAGGTCTCTGAACATTTCTCTAGAGTCAGTTTTCTCTTCAAACCTATAATGGCTCCCTCTTTTATGGTCCCCCCTCTCCCTTCTTCCCTCCCCCCCTCTGTCTTTCTCTCATCTATTCCTCCCCTGACTCAATCTTCCTAGTCTCATGTGCTTTCCTCTCTTCCCCTTCTCTTTCTCCTAGTTCCCACTCCACTTGGTGACCCCCCCCACTCCCAATATGCTCAGGAGATCTTGTTCCTTTTTAAAGTATGTCCTTATGATTCTCTAGATTTCCTCAATGTCTGTTGTTATGTTCCCCTTTTCATTTCTAATTTGCTTAGTTGAGATATTTATTCTCTCACCTTTTAGTTACATTGAGTGGGGTATTGCCACTCTTACTGATTTTTCTCAAAGAATTATGTTTCATTGATTTTTGTGCATGTTTTGCTTGCATTTTATTGACTTTAGCCCTGAGTTGATTATTTCTTGCCATCTGTTGCTTTTGGGTGTAATTTCTTTATGTTGTAGAGCTTTCTGATGTGCTGGTGACTAGTATGAATTCTCCATTTTTTTAAATGTAGGGACTTAGTGCTATGAAATTGCTCTGAGAACTGCTTTCAGTCTGTTCTATAAGTTTGGATATATTGTGTATCCTTTTTTGTTCAGTGCTAGAAAGTCTTTCATTTGTGTCTTGGTACATTTTTCTATTCAGTAGTGAGGTGTTCGGTTTCCATGAGTTTTCAGCGTTTTGTTTTTCTGACATCCAGCTTTAATCCATTGTAATCCAATAGAATTTCAATTTTTGTATCTTTTGACACTTGTTTATGCATGAATATATCACCAGTTTTAGAGAAAATTCCATGGGAGAGTCAATATGTGATTTAAGCTGCAGTAGTGTTTCTTTTATGAACTTGCCCCTTGTGTTTGATGCATAAATGTTAAGAATTGCAGTGTCCTCGGTGGATTTTTTTTTTCCTTTGATTATGCAGTAACCTTCCCCATCTCTTCTCATTAACTTTGGTTTGAAGTCTATTATGTCAGATATTAAAGTGGTTATACCAGCTTGCTTCTTAGTTCCATTTGCTTTGAATATCTTCTTCCATCCTTTTTACCCCAAATGATGTCTTTCCTTGATGTTAAGGAGTGTTTCTTGGATGCAGCAGAAGCGTGCATTTTCCTATTTTTGCATCTGTTCTGTTAGTCTGTGTCTTTTATTGGGGAATTGAGACCATTATTGTTGAAAGATATTAATGAGCAGTGTTTGTTGATTTCTGTTATTTTGTTGTTGGTAATAGTGATGGTGTGGGGGGGTGGGGAGGTGGTGTGGTGTGTATCCTCTTGATAATCTGGGATTATTTACTCTTTGTGTTTCCTTGGGTGTGGTTAACCTCTTTAGGTTGGAGTTTTACTTATAGCAACTTTGTAGGGCTAGATTTAGATTTATTATATAATGTCTTATTTTCTCCATGTATTGTGATTGACAGTTCTGCTGTGTATAGTAGTTTGGGCTGGCATCTGTAGTCTCTTAGAGTCTGTAGAACATTTGTGCAGGACCTTCTGGCTTTTTTAGAGTCTCCATTGAGCAGTCAGGTGTCATTCTAATGTCTGTCTTTATATGTTACTTGGTCTTTTTCCCTTGCATTATTTAACATTCCTTCTTTGTTCTGTACATTTAGTGTTTTAATTATTATGTGCCAAAGGGAATTTCTTTTCTGGTCCACTCTATTTGTGTTCCATATGCTTGTACCTTAATAGGCATCTCTTTCTTTAGGTTAGTGAAATTTCCATCCATGATTTTTTTTTTAAAAAAAAATATATGTTTCTAGATATTAGGATCTGACACTTAAGAATGGGGATGGACTATGGGGATAGCAGGGGGATCCCATAGGAGGGATGAAAGCAGGGTATACCACCAGGATCTGCTTAATTCCCTGGGAATGGTGGCAGAGAATGCACAGAGGCCTGTGTAGAGACCCTCAGGTGATCTGATACAGAGCTGGGGATAAGACTCTGGGGCAGTCAACTTGGAGGCATGGAGGGAGAGGTGAAGATTTGTAGTTAATCCATCTTCCCTGGACAGAGTGCCCCCCACCAGTGTTTTAAAGAATTCAAGTATCCTAGTTGTTAATTATTTGTCTTTTCTCCTTTTAGTTCAGATGCGCAGAAAAGGAAGTATTTGGAATGCTTAGGTTGCTTGTATCTAATAAGGATTTTCATATTCAGACAACTGCTTCATCATTTATACAGTTTTATCAGAGTTAGAAAACTTGTAATTCCAGAAATATTGAGAGTTCAAAGCCAGTCTGGGTTTATTCTGAGACCCTGTCTCAAAAACAAAGTAGCAAAAGAAATTAAGATATCAAATAATTTTAGAAAAGGGGTTTTCCCTTGATTTCCAACATGTTTTCATAGAACAGTGGTTCTCAACTTTCCTAATGCGTGAAATTTTAATACAGTTCCCCATTATGGTACCTTTAACCATAAAATTATTTTGGTGCTACTATTGTGAATCACAGTGTAAATATCTAATATGCAGGATATTTGATATATGACCCCTAAAGAGGTCATGACCCACAGGTTGAGAACCATTGTCATGGAATATTTCATTTCCATAAGCCTATACCAGCTCCATGTGACTTTTTACTAAAGAAAGATTTTTGTGCTTTTATTGAATATTTTTGTTCTTTTTACCTCTGCTAGCATCAGAGAGGGAACCTCAGTTGAGAAAATACCCACACCAGGTAGGCCTATGAGAAAGCCTGTGTGGTGCATTTTCTTGCCTGATGATTTATGTGGGTAGGCGCATCCTATAGGTGAGGATGTCACCCCTGGCTGGTATAAGAAAGTATCAGGCTGAGCAAACCTTAAGGAGCAAACCAAAAAACAGCATTCCTCTAAGGCCTGTCTTGTCAGTTGTTGCCTCCAGGTTCCTGCCCTGCTTGAGTTCCTGCCCTGACTTCAAGCAGGGCAGTAAAAGTTGTAAGATCAAATAAATTTCTTTTCTGAGTTGCTTTTGGTCATGATGTTGTATCAACAGCAATAGAACCCATAATTTAGATGTTACTCCTTGTGATAAGAAATTTTAATCAATATTTTAAATTCTAAATTTAAATATGATTCCTCAGTAATCAGAAAATTACGTTCAGACAGGGACCTAGAGTGTCCTATCAGGCCCAAATTGACTAATGAGGTAGTGTATTCAACTCCTAAAACTAACCAAATACTAAAATGTAGGTTCAACTTAATCTGTTATCTGATACTTTCCTTTCAGAGCTCAAGTAATGATACTGAGAACCATGAGAGAAGCTCTCCAATCAGCTGGTCCATAGTGAAACTTCCAGACATCTAGGGGTGTGAAATGTGGCATGAGAATTGGGCATGGGCTTGATTTTTGACTAACAAGATCTTGAGTCATAAAATCTTGTCACCATTAAGAGGAATAAATATATTACTATCATGGGTTGTGTATGTCTATTTTTAGACAGTTTTCATTTTAGTAATGAGTTTTTAAATACTCTTGCAGATATTTTGAACAGATGTAGTCCTGGCTCATCTTCAAAGGGACTAAAGCATGAATCACTCAATCCAGGTACAATATTTATACTATCTTAATACTATATATTTGGTTATTTAATTTTTTATTCATGTGTATGTATTTGTCCCTTTGTGAGTTTTTTGTGCACCATGTATGTACAGGTGCCTATGAAGGGCAGAAGATGACATTGAATCCCCTAAAACTGGTTTTTACATGGTTTTTAAACACCTGATGTAGGTGCTAAGAACTGAACATGGTCCACTGTAAGAGCAGTGGATATGCTTATCGGCTAAGCCCTTACTATTTTAATTTTAAACTCAGCTTTTTGACACAACTGTATACCAATACATTCATTATAATTTTTGTTTTTATATATATAGCTATTTCTAATATATTCAAACCTACAAGTCAACAGTACAGAAATCCATCACCTAATCCAGTGGCTGCTTTGCCTAGATTTCATCCTGAATCCAAATCTTCAGAGATTTCTGATTCTCAGACTGATACTAAACCTGTAAGTACTTTTCAACTTCAGTTAATTCAAGAGCACAATGGCTAGTATATATGCAGCTACAGTTAAGAATGGTCATAGAAAAATGTCATTATTTTTAGGTTTTCTTATTTGTTTGTTTTTCCCAGATAGGGTCTCACTATGTAGCTCTGGCTGACCTGGAAATCACTATGTAGACCAGGCTGACCTCAAACTCAGTGATAGCCACCACATTCAGCTTAATTTTAAAACTAAAATAATTTCATTGTGTTAACACTATTGCTGGGCATTGGTGGCATACACATTTAATCCCAGCACTTGGGAGGCAAAGGCAGGCGGATCTCTGTGAGTTCGAGACCAGCCTGGTCTACAAGAGCTAGTTCCAGGACAGCCTCCAAAGCCACAGAGAAACCCTGTCTCCAAAAAAAGAGAGAGAGAGAGAGAAGGCTATTATGCTCACACAATTATATAGCAACAAAGTGAATATTTTGTGATATTTTTTTATATACAGCTTTTCTTAATATATCTAAATCAACATTACAAATCCAATGGCTACCTTACCTAGATTTTTTTTGTGCCAAAGTCTTGCCTCTCCCCCTTAGTCCTTGCCAGACCAGTAACCTATATTGTATTCCTAATATTTAACAAAGAGGCCAAAAAAAACCACACTGGAGAAAAGACTGTAGATGATGGAAATTAGACCCATGTCTATCATCACGCAGAAAAATTAACTCAAAGTGACTCAAAGACCTCATTTTACAACATGAATCATGGAAACTGCCGGAAGAGAACACAGGCAGTACCCAACGTGATATAGAAAGGACTTTCTGAATTTACAATTTGGACCTCCTAAAACTAAAAGCTTCTGTACAGTTAAAGAAACAATAAAGTAAAGAGGAAACACCAAAAATCAACTTTTTAAGAGAGTAAACTTAGGTTTTCTGAATTGAGATGATTATTCACAAATCATGGCTGTTCTCAAACCCTTTATTTAGTTCTTAAATATTTTAAGCTATCATGGTTGTTAACATGTTTGTAGTCCTAGTGCTTGGGAAGCTAGGGGCCAAAGGATTTTGAGTTTGAGACAAGTCTCCTCATAATAAATTCCAGACTAGACTGGACTACATAGTGCGACTGTGTTTTGCAAAATAAAATAACCTCCCAGTAATGCAACAACAAAAGACTTTTAATAGAAGTAAGAAATAACGGTAATGCTTAATATTTGAAGGGAAGCTATTAATGTGTGCAAATGCAAGTCTTACATAATTCTTAGGACATCCCTATGAGGGAGACTATTATACCTAATTTATGGTTGAGGAGACTGGAGTTCAGAGAACCTAAATGATTCTTCGAAGGCCAGCTAATAGCTAATAGACATGGGATTTCAAACCAAATTAAACCAGAGGTTTATATACATATCTGACCATACATTTAAATATATACTTATAAAAAGATACGAGTTACCACTGCCTTTTCAATAGCCGTCTCCATAATTCATGTCTATATGCAAGAATATACACCATGTTCGGTGTTTTGTACCTACTAAAGCTGAAAAAGGTGTCAGATCCTCTGAAACTTGAGTTGTATTCAGTTGTAAGCCTCTATGTGGGTTCTGAGAACTAAGCCCAGGTAGCAAGTACTCTTTATCTACTGAAGTATCATCTTTCCAGTCTCTTTCTCTTTAACTTCCTAAAAAACTGATGAAAAAACTTAGTAACAAGGCCAGTCATGGTGGCATATGGCTGTTACTAACACTCAGGAGACTGAGGCAGGAAGATAAAGAGACCAGTCTGTTCTACATAATTAGTCCCAGGCCCTATTGAAAAACCCTGTTTCATTTCCTTTCCCTCAATTAAAAAAAGAATATTTAGTAAGAAAGTAAAATTCTTTCAACCTAATCATGTCCCATCTTTAAACCATAAGACAAGCATACAAAATCTTTGTATTCCTATTGTGAAAGTTATACATATGAAAAGGATTAGAAATAAGGAAATAAATTTTATATTTTCATTTTTATTTTCTGTAGGAAGTATAGTCTGTCATTCAGGGCCATATTTACACAGATTTGACACCTATTCCTCATTTTCACTGAATTTTGTATTGAAAATATATTTCTTTGTCATTCGTTGTATATTCCACAAAAGTATGACAATGCTGAACTTATTTAACTATTCATCTGTTGTTGAATACACAGGTTTTCATATTTTTCTATTACAAATACTCTCTTAACATTTTCATTTCCTTACTATAAACTCTTAGAAGTGGAATGATAGGGACTTTGGAAAGTCTTTAGTAGATACTGCTAAAATGTTATTGCAGAGAAGTTATACCAAAAATGAAACCTTGCCAGTGTTGTTACCAGTTTTTTTTTTTTAACATTTTATTTACAACTATTAATTTTCCACAAGAATCCCAAAAATGACGAAGAATGCCAATATGCTTTTGTGTTTTCTAATGTGTTGTAATACTAGCATACAGGTTGATTTATTTTCTAAACAAACAAAATAATGTTTAACGTTTTACAGATTATTTCAAAGACTTCATCACAAGATGATCCAGGTGCTTCTGTCTTACAGTTAGACTCAACCAACAATATACCATCCTCAAGCATACAGAAAAAGAGTACAGAAGGTTTGATTTAGTATTATTTAACTTTGTTAATGTTCATATGGAATCTCTGTGCGAGGGCCTGAAGATGGCTCAGCAGGTAAAGGTGCTTACTGCCAAACTGATAACCTAATTTGGATCCCTGGAACCCACATAGTAAAAGTATAGAATCATCTCCATGCCATATACAGTTACACATTAAATAAACAAATTAATAAAGATTTAAAAAGCCAACAAGATAGTTCAGCAAATAAAGGCCATTTTCACCAAGCCTAATGATTAGAGTATGATCTTTGAAACCACATTATAGGAGGAGAGAACTGAATCTGGCAGGTTGTCCTCTAACTTCCACAAGTACAGCACATACATACACTCTCATTTTTAAAATTCTCTTCTGAAATTGGTGCCTTCATGTTACTTTTTTGCATATAAGATGTAAATAGAGCTCATCATCCTGAATGCTTTTCTTGTGAAAGCTTGTATTATTTAATAATAGACTATTTTAGACTAATTTCTTTCTTTCTGTTAGTTTAGCTAGTGTGTGCTAGTTGAGCTAATTCTCTTTTTACTTTATTTTATTTTATTTTTTGAGACAAGGTTTGTGTAGTCCTGGCTGTTCTGGAACTCTCTTTGTAGACCAGACTGACCTCATACTCAGAGATCCATCTGCCTCTGCTTCCTGATTGCTGAGATTAAAGACTTCACCACCATACCTAGCTGAACTTATTCTCATTTAGAACTACCTGTAAGCTATGAAAGCTTAATATAATTTCTTTGAGTCAGAGAAGTCACTTAAATACTCTGTAACATTGTATTTATTATTTGGAGACCATTAATTTATAAAATTGCATAGCTTTAGTTTATTTTCTAGTAAACTTTCTATAATAAATGTGACACACACACATATATGTGATAGGGTGTTACTATAAAATGACAAGACTAAAGAGAATGATTTTGCACATGATCAGGTCCTAGTACATATTCATTGAAGGAATGGAAATTGAACAATTGAAAGAAAATTCCTTTAAAAAAGTTCTTTTAACCATAACAAAATTCTTCATGGATATAAAGTAAATTAGTATTTCCCTTCTTTAAATTGAAGCTCAAATCTAAGAACCTTTCAAGGTCATCCTAGACAAGATGTGGTTTCAAACATATCACAGATTTATAATTATTACTATGTTAATAAATCATTCAAAGTTTATAAAACAGCTTTCACTTTTCTTTTGCAAACTCAATAAAATCCTAAGATGAGTAACATTATCTCCAAATAGCTCATATTAAGTCTAGAGAAGAAATGAATTTTGTGAGAAGCATAAAATGAAATTTTAACAATGTAAGAAAAGTAAAATGTAAGAAGTTAGGTGACTTGATAAAGCCTACACAAATCTGTAGAAGAGAGGTTTAGACCTGAATCTTTTATTCCAACTTTAACAGTGTTTTTTTGTTTTCCAACACAGGGTTTTTCTGTAGCTTTAGAGCCTGTCCTGGAACTCACTCTGTAGACAAGGCTGGCCTCAAACTCACAGAGATCCACCTGCCTCTGCCTCTCGAATGCTGGGATTAAAGGCATGTACCAGCACCACCGAGTGAGAAATAGAATTTTTGAGAATATGAGATTTTTGTATTTTAGCCAGGCATGGTGCATGCCTTTATTCCCAGCAGAGATACACAGATTTCTGTGAATTCAAGGCCAGTGTGGTTTACATAGCAAAGTCCAGGATAGCCAGAGATACAAAGTGAGACTTCATTTCAAAAACTAATAATTTTGAAAGACTCTTTTTCATCAGTTTATTCTTTGACAACTTAACATGCGTATGCAATACAGTCTGGCCACACTCATTCCCCCCATCCCATACCTGTCCCACTTCCACCAACCCCGTAGTCCTCTAACCAAGTCCCCATTCCACTTTCTGTCTTTTTTGTTTTATTTTTCCTTTGCTGTGTAACCGGCACACTGGATTTAACTATGGCTACCTGCTCATTTTTATTTGTGTAAATAGGAAGACTTGAAAGTAGGGAATAGCAAAGACCAAAGCAATAAAAATTAATACTTGGAGGATCAATATTTAAAACTATCTCAGAGTAATTTTATTTAATTTACATATTCCTGTGCTTCAAGTTATATATTAGGAAGCTGGTGAGATGGCTCAGCAGTTAAGAGTACTTATTACTCTTCTGAAGGATCTGAGCTTGGTTCCCTGCACCCATGTTATGTCAGGTTGCTCCAAAATACCTGGAGTTACAGCTCTAGGAGATCTGACACCTTCTGGGCTCTACAGGCATGCATGTAACATACATTCACAGAGATGCACAAACACCAGCTCTGGGACATTTGACACCTTCTGGGCTCTACGGGCCTGCATGTAACATACAGTTACAGAGATGCACAAACATACATGTACATAAATATAATAAATATAAACCCTTAAAAGTTTATCAAAATGGTCAATTTTTTTACCTCATATATAATGTTAACCTAGTGCAGAATGTCAAAATTTATTGATTTCAAGTGACACAAGTATCTTAAAAAATAAAAAGTAACAAAACCAAAGTCAGTATCAAGTACTGACAGTAATCTTTCAGTAACAATAGCCTCTAATGATAGGAAAAATAATTTTGCCATCATAAAGAATGTAACAGCATAAATATTCCAAAAATATGTCTACTGCTTCTCCTGTGAATGTACACTTGAGAGCATTAAACTGTGTGTGGTTTTAGAGCCTTTGTCACAAAGGGCAATTTATTTTTAGTTAGTTTATAAAATCATTTTTTTTTCTGGATCTGTGCCTGTTTCTCAAACAGATGCCATGAATTATCTATCCTTTATATGCTAAGATGATGGTTTTCAAACACAGCTATTTCTTCCAAGCAAATCTATTCAAATTGCAAAAGTCAGATAAGACAAAAGGAAAGGATCTATCTGAAATGCCCATTGTGTTTAATTAACTTGGGATAGTAGTTGGAAGGTCATTGTAGAAATTCTAGATTTTTTCATATGAATGGCTGAAGCATTTTTGTTTTCACTTCCTACATAAGGAATCTAATAATTTAAACAACTTGTCAGATTATTAGTTGGGAGAAAATCAAATTCAACTTTCATTGGATACCTCAAAATTTTAAAAACACCTTAAAAAACTTTCCTGAATTTCAGAATGAGTATTTTTTTACATTCAAATGTATTTAATCACTAAAAGATAAATTCATTTGTAAGAACTTGGCTAAGAGAAAGTACTCTGCCTTTTTTTTTTCTCTTTTTTGTTATATTGTTGTTATTGTTGCTTTGGGTTTTGTAGGATTTATGTTTTTTGTTTTTACTCAGCCTGCCTCCTTTAATGGATAGCTTTATTTGAAAGTATCTTTATAGTTTTCTTACATAAAGTTTATTTTGTGAATCTGAAATATATGTGACCCATAGAAGCTGCTTCTTTGTATAGTTTCTGCTTTTTTATTATGTTTTTTTCAGTTAAGTTAGGTCCAAGGAGTTTTAATGAATTTTAAATCTAAGGCCATTTTATAGCAAGTTACATAAGTAATATTCTATACTAAAGCATTTTAAATATCTTCCCTACTGTTCAAATTTTTGTAGGTATCGATCAAACTTCATTAGGATTAAAACATCCTTCCACTTCCCAAGTAAACAGTGTTAATCCAAAAAAGCCAAAGACCAATGCAAGTGTTTCTGAAACAAGTCCTTCCTCTTCATCATCTTTAATTAAGTCTCCTTCCGAGGCTTTCTCCCAGGTTGTAGTATCAAGTAAGTATGAAATGTCACATAGAAATATGTATTAGTTAGAAACAAATTTTAATAATTGTGATAATTTTTTAAAGATGTTTAAGTTTTTAAAAGATTGATTTTTTTTTTACTCATAAAAGTCCTCAATTTATTTTAGATGAAAATACCTCATCAAATCAGTCTAAAACTGGAGCACCTTCACTAACATCTTGTCCAAAGTGCAATGTTAAGTTCAGTTTTTTGGATCCTTTGAAATGCCACATGAAGGTAAAATAGTTTCAAATTTTGAGTTTTGAAAATGTTTACAAATCCATGAAATATTAATAATAATAGAGAGTAAATATTTGTTTGTCTAGATATATAAATAATAAAGTTTTTATTGTCATTTTCATATGAATAAAAAATAATTTTCATAGTGATTATATAAAATTTAAATTCTTCCCAATCATGAAATTATAAAATTTAAGTTCATCATATATACACTATAGCCATGTGGTCATGCATACTCCATAGTATGTGTGCATTGCATTTCAATTTTAATTGAAAATTAATAAACTAATATTTTATTGACTAAATTATACCATTCTTTATACTTCTTATAAAGCGGGCATTTTGTTAATCCTAAATATAAATTAAAATTTCCTTATATTTTAATTGTTTCCATGTTCTCATATTCATTTAATATTTCTCAATGAAAAATCTTAGTTTTACATCTTAAATTTTCAGTTTCCTCATGGAACATTTCTTATGAAATAATAGTTTTAACTCAATCCAGAATAGGATATATACAATTATAAATGAATTATAGCTTTATAGCTTTATGTACTTTATAGCTCCTGAACTTAGGTTTTAGATAAATTTGAAGCTACTAAAAAAGTATGGGATTTCTACTTAAAATATGTAACTAGGTAATATAGTATTCTGTTGAATCTTTGTAAAGATAGTCAGTCTTCTCTTTCTCTGCCCTGTGTAAATGGCAATGAGGAAGGAGGCAAGAAAAGCAGTAAGATAAGTAAGATAGATGGAAAAGAAGGATAGAGATAATACAGAGACACATCTTAGGAAAAGATTGTTCTCACTGTTCCAAAGACAGAGTTTTATTAAAAACCACATCTTAGAGAAAAGTAGAAGACTAAGAATGGGTTCTCAAAATTTCAAATACAAATATCTGTTCTAGGAGCAAAACTGATATTGTGTTAGTCCATCTACCTCCATGAGCATGTGAGAATAGTGAATCCAGTCTCACATCATCATACTTTCTTTGATATTTGACAGTTCTATTTTGTATTCTCTTTAGGATATAATTCTCTATCTCTCATAACTTCACTGGCATTTTACATAAAGTATCCTTTCACCTTGTTTAATACATTTTGGCCTAAATTCCATTTTAATTTATTTATCTAATCATTTACTTATTCCTTATCCTTTATGTGTAAATGTGTGTATATGTCTGTGCACGTTTGTGTGTTTGAGTGTAAGTGTGTACTTCCCACTGTACATGTGTGGAGGTCAGAGGACACAACCTTGGGTGTTAGTTCTTGCTTTCCACCCTAAGACAAAGTCTCTTGGTTAGTTGTAGCTGTGTATGCCAAATTCTTCTATCTCTGCCTTCCATTACTCTATAGTAACATGAGGATTGTAGACATGTGTTACTGTGGCCTTTTGGGGTTCTAGGGATCCAAAGTCAGGTTCTCACCCATGTACAGAAAATTCTTCACCCTCTGAAGCATTTCCCTAGCCTTCATAATCCTTATTTTCTTGTTTCCATGTGCTTGCTAAATTTCTTTACTTATTGATTTATTTGTTTTTTAAGACAGGGTCTCTATGGAGCCCTGGCTGTTCTGGAACTTGTTATATAGATCATACTAGCCTTGAACTCATAAAGATTCACCTGCCTCTGTCTCCCAAATGCCGAGATTAAAGGTTTGTGCCACCTTGCTCATTTACTTGCTATATTCTTACTTTATCATTTTATTTTCAATATTTGCAGAGCCCTTTATTGTTTATGTTTCTAATTTTTGCCTGTGTTTATTTTCTTTCTAACCATATGTGAAAATTCTTTTCTTTCAGGAGTTTAGTTAAACCTATCTGCAGTCATTGACGTACAGGCTTTACCTATTTCAGCTTTGATGCTGGAGGGAAGGACTTGGTCCTGCCTCAACTTGATATGCCAGGCTTAGTTGAGATTCCCCATGGGAGACCTTACCCTCTCTAAAGACTGGATGGGTAATAGGGGGAGGTTGGGGAGAGTGGGAGGCCAGAGAGGGAAGGGGAAACAGGGGTTGGTATGTAAAATCAATAAAAAATTTAAAAGAAAAATAGATTTAGTTGGTAGTTGGTAGTATAGGTATGTGGGCCTAAGTGAAACCATAAGGATACAACACTTTAGGAAACTTTCACATGTCTATTTTGCATTTTCTGTGATAACAACATAAGATCTATCCTCTCAACAAAATTTTCAACTTCCTATTCAGTGTTGTCAGCTATGCATATTAATGATGTACAGTAAATCTTTAGGGCCTATTTATCTTGAATAACTAAACCTATATATCCATTGAGTAATACTACCCCATTTGCCACTACCCCAGATTGTGGCACAGGATTCTATTCTCTGTACTATTATTTAGATGATTGTAGATTTCTCATGTAAGTGTAATCATGAAATATTTGTCCTTTTACTGACATATTTCACTTAATATAATATCTTCCAAGTCTATCCATGTTGTTTGAATAGGTAGAATTCCCATCTTTCTTAAGCCTGAAAGTAATATTCCAAACTGTCTATACATCACATTTTCTTTTTCATTTTTATATTATTACACTTAGACTACTTTCATGTCTGTCTTGGCTATGAATAATTCTACAGTGAACTTGAGCTTGTCTTTGATATCCCAACTTCGATTGTTTTGAATATATACCCAATGTGACATTACTGGATCATATAATTATATTGTTTCTAGGAATAGGAACTTCTGCATTTTTTTCATATTGGGTTTTGCTGATTTATATTTACACTATCACTGTCAAAAAAGAATTGGCTTTCTCCTCTTATCTTTTCTCTTTTAGATAGAGCCATCCCCTCATTGTATTTTTGAAGATTACTAATTTTGAGTGCTCTTTTTTCTTATTTTTCATTTTGTATGTCTTTTTAAAAAGAAATGTCCTTTCAGTACCTTTGCCTTTACTTATTTTCCAAATCTTTACTGGAAAATTTAAATAATGAGAACGAATGAAAGATAAAGGGTATCACAGAAAAACTAAAAGTGGAACTCAGTGGAAATAACTGAATATGTGGAAATTGGGGAAAATAGAACAGTTTCAGTAGGATTACTAATCAGAAGAGGAAATAGATGTAGAAAAAAGTTGAATAGCAATACTAATAGAAAATATCAGTATTCAGGGTTCTCTAAAGAACAGATCTCATATGTGAAATGTATACATATATAAATTTAATTTAATAATAATGATAAATTTAATATAAGTATATATTAAAAAGGAATTGTTAAAGTGGCTTCCGAGCTGTTTTCTGAATGATCCAACAGTGCTTGTGTCCTGTGGAAAACTCAAGGATACAGTAGTTGTTCAATCCACTACACTGAGTGTCTCAGCAGCCCCAATCTGGTGCTGGAGTCCCAAGTGTAGGGAGCTACTGGTTTTCAGTCCACATTGGAATCCCAAAGAACTGGGTTCTAACACCAGCAAAGAAATTACTCAGGAACGGGAGGCTTATCAGTGAGAGAGAGGGCAAGCAGACAAAAAGCCAAAAGCTTCTTCTGTGTTCTTTTATGTGGACTGCTACCAGAAGCTGTGACCTAAATTTAGGGTGGATTTTCACCTCAAATAATCCAACCAAGAAAAACCCCTCACACGTGTGCGTAGCTGCTTGGATTTTAGTTAATTCTAGATTTAGTCACATGGGCAGGTAAGATTAGCCATCACAGTCAGTGATTTAAACTTTTCATAAACGGCCAGATGCTAATCCAATGAACTATGACATTATATTTGAAATACAGCATAGATACCATTTACTGAGATTTAATTTTATGGTCATTTTCTTCTGATAGGATTTTTCTACTTTCATGAATACGCCACTTTCTAGTTTCCTACCATCTTTGTCAATTTTTAAGTTTAGGATATTTTTAATGTTGTTTTTGTTGTGCTACTGAATCATAAGAATTCTCACTGTTGTTTTCTAACACTTTGAATAAAAAGTTTAAATATTCAACAATTATAAGAATTAATTGATTTGCAAATATTTCCTCCTGTTTTATTTTTGTTCGGTAATTTTTTTAAAGATTTTTTTGGGTGCTTTGTTTGCATGCACATCTGGGCATCACTTACATGCCTGGTGCTACTGGAGGCTAGTAAAAGCATTGGCTCCCTTAGGATTATAGTTACAAACAGTTGTGACTGTGTGGGTGCTAAAATTGAATCCCAGATCCTCTGGAAGAGGAGCCAATACTCTTAACTGCTGGAGCCACCACTCCTGTCTGCTCCGATTATTCTTAAAAAATCCTCCTAGAGAAATTGTACCACTGGAAATTATCTATGATTACAAGTATTTTTTTCATTGAGTAAAGACTTAATGTGAGAAAAGTATTCTACATTAGAATCCATTAAATGAGGTTTTGATTTAATTTGTGGTAAGCTTTCTCCATGATTTTTTTGTTTTTGTGTTTTTGTTTTTGTTTTTCAAGACAGGGTTTCTCTGTATAACAGCTCTAGCTGTCCTGGAACTTGCTGGATAGACCAGGTTGACCTCAAACTCACTGAGATCCACCTGCCTCCGCCTCTGCCTCCCATAGATAGTGCTGGGATTAAAGGTGTGCACCACTACCGACTGGCTTCCCCCATGAAATACTTAAGTGTTATAGATAGAATGCATTGAGATTTGAGGGGTAACTTTCTCTGTGAGGCACACTTATCTAGTGCCTTATCTTAGGAGAATGACATCAACTGTGCTCAGAAGTCCAGTGCCAACTATGCTTTACTAAAATATTACTATGTCATTAGGTAATTAAGCTTCATACATGATAGTATATGTGACTTTTAAGTTATATCTTGATAAAATGTATTGTTTTTGTTCAAAAAGCAAATTAATCTAAAAAGAAAATTTACAAGGTAATTTAAAGTTTAAAGGTTATCCATTTATTTTGGAAGTTATTTCTTTCAATAAAATAATAGTGTTTATTGGAATTTTTGCAGTTTATAAGGAGGGAAGCCATTGTTTTGGTGGATATCCTTTTTTTTTTTTTTTCTCCCGAGACAGGGTTTACCTTTGTAGCTTTGGAGCCTGTCCTAGAACTAACACTTAGTCATTTGAAGTCCAATACACTATCGATTGCACCACAGAGCCTCATCTAACTCTTGTAGATCATGCTGGTCTCAAACTCACAGAGATTCACCTGCCTCTGCCTCTGCCTCTGCCTCCCAAGTACTGGGGCGAAAGGTGTGTGCTACTACCACCTGGCAGTTGATAATCTATCTATACATATTACTGAGCATTGCTTTATATGATCTGAAACTATTGTAAATATACATACAACTTGTTTTTGACAGCTGATTTTTATGAGGTACAAATAAAACATGCTATTTCTCCTCTTTCAGCGTTGCTGCCCAGACATGATAAATAATTTTCTGGAGACTATTAAGTCAGAACATTCAAGGACTGAAACCAAAACTAGCATTGGCTCAGATAAAGAAAAATTGATCATGCTAGTTAGTAATTTTTATTATGGAAGACATGAAGGAGCTATTGAAGAAGAAGTGAAGACTCACACAACTTTTAAATGCTTCAGTTGCTCGAAAATTCTTAAAAATAATATTAGGTATGTAAATATATTTTACTTGTTTGAATATTAAGAAATGATCCTTTCCATCTTGATGTTTTAATATAAATACATTTTGTTTTTCTTTGCTACCATAGGTAAACCACTGTAATTCTTCTACTAAGAAAGGCTATTTGTTATGCTGAAAATTGTACCAAGCGTTTTCTTTAGGGTCACCAACCAGCTCCCAAATCATGACCCAGAGACTTAGTTTTGAATGCTACCCTAGCTGAGGCTCTTCTGGCTAGCTCTTTTAACTTAAACTAACCTGTTTCTCTTTATCTACCTTTTGCCTTGAGGCTTTTTACTTTTCCTTTCCGTCTGTATATCTCATTTTCACTGCTTCTTGTGTCTGGCTGGCAGCTGGCTGGCTGATCCCAGGTGTGTCCCTCTCATTCTCCCGTATTCTCTTCTTTTTCTTCCTCCCTCATTCTCCTATTTAGTCTTTATGCCCGGCAGCCATGCCTATCTCTCTCTTGCCTAGCTATGAGCCATTCGGCTTTTTATTAGATCAATCAGGTGCCTTAGGCAGGCAAGGTGAAACAGCAACACATCTTTTCATAATTAAACAAATGCAGCAGAAACAAAAGTAACACTCCTTTACACAGATAAAGTAATATTCTGCAGCACAAACTAATACAATGCATCTTTGCCTAGTTAAAATAATATTCCACAACAGAAAGTTTTTATTTTTCTTGTACTTCATATTTTGAAGGTAGCTTAAGAAAAGACAAGAGTATTTACTGTAACTTAGGGGAAACGCCATATTTTTTCACTTGACTGAGTTACTTTCCTATTTCTGTGATAAAACACTATGACCAAGGCAACTTATACAAGAAGGTGTTTAATGTGAGTTTATTGTTTCAAAGGATCGAGACCATGATGGTGAAAACAGGCATGGTAGGAAGAACAGAGAGCTCACATCTTTATCCACAAGTAGGAGGCAGAGAGAGATTAAAACACTGGGAATGACCAGAGAATTTTGATCTCAAAGCATGCCTCCACTGACACATCTCTTCTAATACTTTCCCAACAGTTCTACCAACTGGAGAAAAAGTATTCAAACATATGAGCCTATCAAGGCCATTCTCATTCAAACCATCACATTCCAATCTGTATTAGGTTTCTCTAAAGGAATATAAATAATAGCATATATAAATAATAGCATATATATGTGTGTGTGGTTTTTTCAAGACAGGGTTTCTCTGTGTAGCTTTGTAGTCTAGGCTGGCCTCAAACTCACAGAGATCCACCTGCCTCTGCCACCTGAGTGCTGAGACTAAAGGCGTGCGCCATCACTGCCCTGCAACATTATTTATTTTGTGCATTTTCAAGGTGTTAATTGAATTGTCTTTAAAATGCACAAAGTATTTTATTTTGAAATATAGAGCAGGGCATAGTGGTGTATGCCTTTAATCCCAGCACTTGGGAGGCAGAGGCCAGCATGATCTACAAAGCAAGTTCAAGGACAGCTAGGGAAGTTACACAGAGAAAGTTAATATAAATAATATTTCATATATATAGAAAGGAGGCTTGGTAGTTTATTTTTATCAACAGTAGATATAAATCTGAAGTTATGATAGTTATAGCAAATTGGTGGTATTTACTATTGGACTATTACAGGATTATTTTTAAAACAAATAGGTAAAAAGGTTTAAAGAGCCCCTTAATGAAATTAGCCTTTGTTTTAGTTAGGGTCTTAGACTGGCTTCAAACTGGTTGAGTAGTACAGAATAACCTTGACATTATAATCCTCTGTTTCCACCTCCTAAGTGTTGGGATTAACAAATTTTGTTTGGTGATAGAATCTGCTATGTTTCCCAGATGAGGTTGAAACTCAACCTCAAATGAATACGGGGTTCCTCAACCTCTTAGTAGGTAGTTCTACAGAAACACGATGCCAAGTAAATTTATTGTCTTTGTTTTTCTATTGCCATGTCAAAATACCATGACCAAGGCAACTTATAAAAGAAAGCATTTAATCAAGTGGTGGTGATGCACACCTTTAATCCCAGTACTGGAGAGGCAGAAGCAGGCAGATCTTTGTGAATTCAAGTTCAGCATGGTCTACAGAGTGAGTTTAATTTGGGGCTAACAATTACAGAGGCTAATAGAATCCATGACTATCATGGCATAGGCAGGCATGAAGCAGTAGCTGATAGCTTCCATACTGAGACATCACAAAGCAGAGAGAGGAGAGGCAGTAAGTTAACTTAGAATAGCAAGGGCTTTTGAACCTCAAAGCCGATCCCCAGTGACACACCTCTTCAAACAAAGCCATACCCAATCCTTCCTAAACAATTCCATCAACTAGGAACCTAGAATGCTAATATGACCAATCTCATTCTAACCGTATCTAGAAGGTTTTGAGGCTATAAAGTTGATATTTTGAATTGCAGTCATGCAACTACATTTAAAATTTTTAGATCAGATAATTATTTGTGAACCTTTTATCTTATAAATCTGCATTTTTGCATCTGTTTTACTATCATTTATAGGTTCATGAACCACATGAAACACCACTTGGAACATGAGAAACAGAACAGTGAATCCTGGGAAAGCCATACTACGTGCCAGCACTGCTACCGACAGTATCCCAACCCCTTCCAACTACAATGCCATATTGAGAGTACACACACTCCTCATGATTTTTCTAGTAAGTGACAGTTTTACCAAATTTGATGATCTGATTATGAGGGAATTTTAAAGACCACCTATTCCTAATACCAATACTACTAGTAGTGATACTGCATTACTTGATGTTATGATCATTCAAAATGAATCTTGTTTTCACACACATTTGAAAATGGTATTATGTGTTTTTCTCTTTCAGCTATTTGCAAAATCTGTGAATTGTCCTTTGAAACTGAGCATATACTTTTACAGCATATGAAGGATACTCATAAACCTGGTGAAATGCCATATATTTGCCAGGTATACACACTTATTATATACTTCAATGTGTTTGTTCAGTGTCTGTATTCCATGAAATATTATTGTTCCTTTGATTTCTGAAACCTCAAACTTAAATAAAATTAGTGTACTAAAATTGAAATGTTTCTGTGTTTCGTGAAATTCAATTTTGGTTGAATACATGCATTTTATGTGGGTGTAATGGACTGGATTCAGCCTTCCTGGTCATAGTTCTCTGACTACTGTAATAAACAATTGTCCAACTGGTGAGAGACAAAAATAGGATTATTACATAGGGAAGAATATAGACGTTTTGGGGGAAATATGAAATATTAGAGAACTTAACTAGATATTTTTTGATGAGTGTTTTTCCAGAGTGTGAAGTGACTCCCAGTATTAAGAAAGCAACATAAAAATAAACTGTCTCTGGCTTAGCGTTTAAAATCTAAATAAGAAAATGCTGTTTTATGTACATTAGTGCTTGAGAACTTAAGTCAATGTAAGGGATGATAGATCTGTAAAGATGAATAAAGTCTAGCTATGGTTTGAAATATCCCTAGTGCAGGATGTTTTTCTAAAGCAATGATGTATCACTACTAATTTGATGTAAATTGTATGCAAGTTATAAGATTTTATGTTGAACTTAAATTTATTCCTGTTTCTAGGTTTGCCAGTTTAGATCATCAATATTTTCTGATGTAGAAACTCACTTTAGATCATCTCACGAAAACACTAAGAACTTACTATGTCCATTTTGTCTCAAAGTTAATAGAATGGCAACCCCTTACATGAATCATTACATGAAACATCAGGTGAGATTTGGACTTTATTTCTTCATATTGTTTTATTGAAAAGATATATATAGTTAGAACATTAATTAAATTTATTCCAAGGAAACAAAATTGTTCCAAACAACATGTTTAATTGACAGTTATGCTGATTTATGAAATAGTCATTTTTTTCTTGCTTTTAGTTAATACTGAGGTCCATAACAAGTGAAGTTTCTAAAAGATATCATTAGAAATAGGAACTACAGAAGAGAGGAAAGGGGGAGTAAATGAGGGGAATGTATAAGCTGCATATTTTAGCATCCAAGATGCATAGACATTGTGTCTTGTAGGTAATTTTGAAGAGCAAAGGAAAAGATTTGAACTAAAAGGACTAAAATTGAAAACTCATAACCTTGTGATTTTTCTTTTTTTCCTCTTTACACTTGCTAGTCCATTTTGAGAACTCTTTTTTGTTTTTGTTTTTGTTTTGTTTTTTGAGTCAGGGCTTCAAGTTTTTTTGTTTTTGTTTTTGTTTTTTTTTTTCACAGCGTTGCCTGCCCTGGAACTACTTCTGTAGACAAGGCTGCCTTGAACTCACAGAGATCCACTTGCCTCTGCCCTGGCATACTGGGATTAAAGGTGTGTCCCACTGCCACCTGGCCAGTGTGACTCTTATTACCAGCATGTGAACTGAATCAGGGAACTGTACTTAGGTTGTAACTTGCTTCCTATATGACTTTTGCCAGTTCTACCATATAGTTTCTAAGGTACTAGTATTAGTGCTTGCACCCTTCTCTGCAGTTCTGGTTTTATTGTCTTTTTTTTTTTTTTTAATCATTAGCCTGGACTTTGGCTCAAAACTTTGATGAAACTGTGGTTCTATTATATGCTTGAAAGAGCAACGAACAATATCTTGGCCAAAACAAGTTGATGATTTATTGACCATGTATTTCTAAACTATTACTTCCTCAACATCACCCCTTAACATGACTTTGGTTCCACTCATTAGGTAATCATGAAATTAACTTCTTGTTAATTGGGAAAATAATCTTTCACCCTTAAAAAATTCTGACAAATCAATGTCTACCTGCCTTCCTTTTCTTCCTCCTTTCCTCCCTTCCTCCATCCATCCCTCCATTCATTCATTCACCCTTTCCCATTTTTCTCCCTCCCTCCCCTCCCCCTCATTCAGTGGTAACTCTCTGTATACCCCTGACTGGCCTGGAACTCTGTATAGACCACACTGGTCTCAAATTCATAGAAAGCCACATGCTTCTGCCTCCCAAATACTGCTCCACCACACCCCTTAACAAAATCTAGTAAAGAATTTCCCTAAAACAATTCTCTTACAAATACTCTCTGATAAAAGAAATCACTGGATTTTTAAAATTAATAATTTAATTTTGTGTGTGTGTGTGTGTGTGAGAGAGAGAGAGAGAGAGAGAGAGAGAGAGAGAGAGAGAGAGAGAGAGAGAGAGAGAGAGAGAGAGTCTGTATATAGTCCTGGCTGTCCTGGAATTTATTTACTATGTAAACTAGCCTGGCCTTGAATGCACAGAGATCCTTCTTCTTCTGTCTCCTGGATGCTGAGATTAAAGACATGTGCCACCATGACTAGCCTACATTTTTTGCTTATGTTTAAAAACCTGCAGTCACATAAAGTTATTTTCATGCAAGTCTACAATGTACTTTAAACATAATTCCTCTTCCATAACAACTCTATTCTAAGAGAATTTTTAAAAACTAGTGCATGTGGAGAGATGGATCAGTGGTTAAGAGCACCAGCTGTTCTTCCAGAGGTCCTAATTCATTTCCCAACAACCATATGATGGCTCACAACCATCTGTAGTGAGATCTAATGCCCTGTTGTGGCATGCAGGCATACATGCAGACAGAACGCTGTATACATAATAAATCAATAAAAATAAATCTTAAAATAATAAAGAAAAGAAGTTAGTGCCTAGTACCCTCCAGTAGCTTTGTCTTTAATCTTTTTCTTTATCCTTTCACTGTAATAACAAAACGGAGTACAGCAGCTTCTGGTTCTCATAAGTAATTCTACAGAATCAGCAAACCTGGGGGTATTAATGGCGATCACTGAGGTACTATGAGTACTCGCTTAGTCCCTAACACACTATCAAAAACTGGCTCAAATAAGAATAAATATTTATTTCTCACAGTTCTAGAATATGCAAAATCCAAAATTAAGGCACCAGCAGAATTAGGTTTCCTGATTCACAGATACCCATGTTCTCACAGTGTACTCACATGGCAGAAGTGGCAAAAGACCTCTATTGTATAAGGACACTATCTCACTTATGAGTGCTTTGCCTCCATCTAAATACTGTCTCCCAATGACATTACATTGGCACTCAGGATTTCCTCATAAGAATTGATATAAGACAAGCATTCAGTCCATTCCTTTAGTTTCAGATGCCTAAGAGATAGACATCCATCAGGAAAGAGAAAAGATCTGTTCATAAAGCTTATGTACTTCTCATGTATTTTCAGTTTGAATAATTACTCATAAAAGACCAAAAAGCCATAGCTGAGCAGTCTTATTCTTGTAATGGAAGTTACATTTTTAACACAGTAGTAATTACTGAATTTGTAGTTTATTATCTTAGAAGATTTTCATCACAACATTTTCCTAAAAAGAATATAATTTTAGAAATAGTACTATTTACATAATCTTTAAGCAATATTAAATTTTTAGATATGCTAAATATTTTATTAACTTCTTAATTGTAAAAGTTATTAGCAACTACTAATCACTTGCCTTATGATAAACAGGAATGCTTTTATATCCATTATTTTAAAAGATATCCTATGAAGTTGGTATGTGATTATTTCCATTTTATAGAAAGGGAAAAAAAGCTTTATAGAGAATAATTTGACCAATATCACATTCTCCAAAAAATGATGGTTAAAATTGATTCAGAGCCTAAACTTACCATTTACTCAAAATTCCCAATGATAGGCAGAAAGGCAGAAATTAGAGATAGTTAATATTGCCCTTGAAAATCCTTCAAATCCATCAAACATTATAATATGCTTGTCAAAAATTTCAATACAGGGAACTTTTTGTGTTTCCTTTTCTTTAACCTTTGGAACAAATCACTGTTTATTTGATTGAATATCATGTTATTTCTGTTATCATGTTATTCATCTGTTATCATCATGTTATTTCCTTATCAACCTAAGTTCATTGCAACACACACAAGGAAGACATTCATATTCTAAGTTTAGTTAATTTGAATATTAGATTAAAATCTCTAACACAGGCCTCTAGGAAAATGTTCTCTGAATGGAATAGTAGAAATTTTAAACTCACTGAATTGTGCTCAGTTCTTATGTGTATTCTTCCTTTCTCTTGCTGCCTGACTTCTTATTTATTTAACAAATAATTTATAGCATATAAATATTGGGAATGCTGAAGTAAGAAAAGTTAATGATTGCCCTCTGGAATTTGCATTATAATGGAGAAAGGTCTGCATATGAAGTTTATATGTATAGAAGTTGGTAGTAAATACAGTGAGAAGAAAATACAGGTAGATTGAGACTTCTAGATCTTTGGTGAAGTGGTGGGTTCTCTTTTTTACATGAGTTGGTCAAAGTGGTCCTCTCCTAAGGGGATAAGGCAATATGTAAATGACCATCGAAAGAGACTGTTCTAAACAGTGGGGACATTTTAAGTAGGTTAGTGAGGTGAGCATAAATTTAGAATGTTGAAGGAATAGCAAGGATGTTAATATGACTAGAACACAGTATAGTAAAGAAACAGTAGAGCTGGGTGGTGGTGGCACATGCCTTTAATCCCAGCACTCAAGAGGCAGAGGCAGGTAGATCTCTGAGTTTGAGGCCAGCCTGGCCTAGACAGCTATTTTCATGACAGCCAAGGCTATACACAGAAAAATCCTGTCTCAAAAAAACAAAAAGAAAAGAAAAAGAAAAAACATCCATAGCAAAACTAGTAGCTGTGGTTGTGGTAATAGAAGATGGAAGACAAACCAGATTAAGTAAAGCCTTGTATGCCAGAATCAGGATTCCTGAGTGTTGACAGAATGAGAGGATTTAAGCAACTGAGAAGTATATAATGCTTATAAGATCACCCCATCACCTACGGAAAGGAATGGATCACCTACAGAGAGAAGATAGGATCCTGACTCAAATTTCACACGAATGGCTTTATACTAGTATAGGTGGTAGCAGTGGTTGGGGATAATGAAAAATAGAATGATAAATGATTTAAGTATATTGCTAATAACTTACTGTGGGTTGTATTAATATGTAGGAAAGAGAAGAGTTAAGAGTGACCAAGCCAAGTCATTTGTTATGAGATGCTATAAGAATGGAATTTTCATATACTGAGATATTAGAAAAAAAATTGAAGGAATAGATTTTTAAATATATAACTTCTTGGTTTTTTGAGAAAGAGTTTCTCTGTGGCTTCGGAGCCTGTCCTGGAATTAGCTCTTGTAGACCAGGCTGGCCTTGAACTAAAGAGATCTGCCTGCCTCTGCCTCCTGAGCACTGGAACTAAAGGCTTACACCACCACTGCCCAGCATATCCTCTTTTCCTTTACTTGACACACACATACACCTAAATATATAACCTGCTCAGTCCATATAATGTTACCTGTATGTATATGATCTAAGGACTGACCATGTGGTATTAGATAACCAAAAAGGGGCCCTTTCATGATACCTTTAACATGGAAACATGTAGTGCTCTGTTTCATTCAGGACATGAAAGAGAGGTTACTGTTATGTAGAGAATATATAAATTTGCATCACTGACATATCAAAGATTCAGATTGGAAGTATTCGTAACATCACTGAATATTATATAAAATAATAAAACAGACACTTTACATTTATGTTGTATATCAGTCTGGACAATCTTGAAAAACTTTGATCAATCATTTGCCTGCTGTTCACCAGTAACTGCTAGATATTTTGTGTATTGTACCTTGTTTTGATTTTCTGCCGTATTTATTTACAAAGACTACTGTGTGCTTGTGGACATACAGATTTGTAAAGAAAGACCTTTTCATTTATTTTGCTTTAAATTTATATATAAATATGTGTAATCCATGAGAATATACATGCAAATATTGCAATTAACAGTTATAGAAAGAAAACAACTGGCTATAAACAAGTGACTTTTCTAGAGTTCCCTTTTGTATCACCAAAGTAAAAATATGTCTGATTCAGAACTCAGTCAAAGGGTTATCAAACAGTAAATTGGAAAGAGTTCTTTTATGCTTCCATGTGCATGTGATGCAGCCATCCTCATAGCACCTAATGATGTGTGTCTAAGTTTAGACCTCCAAAAAATAAAATTACAAAATTACTTCTCCGTTGCACTTCTCATCCTTTTTAAGTAGCAGTTTTCACAATGGATAATGTAACTATAGAAACTTCTGTTGGATAGAACTGCCATTAAGAAGTATTTACATTACATAACTTCAGAGTTTCTAGTTGGGTATTTTTTTCCGTCTTTTGTTTGTGTTTGGTTGGTAGGTGTGTGTGTGTTTGTTTGTTTGTTTGTTTGTTTGTTTGTTTGTTTGTTTGAGACAGGGTCTCACGGTGTAGCCCTGGCTGGCCTGGAACTTGCTATGGAGACCAGCCTGACCCTGAACTCTCAGAGATAGATCCACCTGCCACTGCCTTCAGATAGCTGTAATTAAAACTATGCGCCACTACTCCTACTCCTAGGTAGACTTTTTGGTCTTAAAAGTTAATTTTGTTTTTACCAACAAATGAAGATAGTAATGAACAATTTATTTTTTCTAAGGCTAAAAGTAAAATTCAGTTCAATTCAATCTTGTAATCTTGCATGTTTGAATACATCAAATTTGTAATGAAAAGTGCTTTTACACCCTAATAGATGTAGAGTTTTTCCCAGTAGATTCTAATTAATATAATTTCATGTTGGGTGCTTTACATCATAGCAAATACTTTTGAAATTCATATGCATTTTATAAAATGGAATAAAGCATTTTCATAGTCTACCCGAAATCCTAGACTTCATCACCAATACTTCAAAAACAAATAAACAAATTAATGAATGAAGGGTGCCACTTAGCCCAGTGTTAGCATAAGGGCCTGAGTATGATCCCCAACACCAAAAAGAAAAAACATTATGGCATTTATGATGGAAGATGGTAAAATTATCTATGATAGGATGTGGCAAAGTAGTCCATTTTTAAAGTTATAAAGATGTTAGTCAAAAAGAAATTTCAGGCCTCAGTGTTTGTGGTTGGTAGTTGTTAGTTTCTCTAGAATGTAGTGCATACCTATAATCGTAGCACTTTAGAGACTGAAACAGGAGGATCACAAATGACCAACAAAGTCTACCACATACAGAACTTTCAAGGGCAGCTGGGGCTGTGTAGTGAGAACCTTTCTCATAAAAGAAAATATTTTAATATCATTTCTAATAATTTTTATAAACAGAATAAAGGAATCCATCGTTGCCCAAAATGCAGACTACAATTTTTGACCTCCAAGGAGAAAGCCAATCATAAGTTAGAGCATCGTACATTTATAAAGCCAAAAGAACTAGAAGGATTGCCTCCTGGAACAAAAGTGAGTATTAAATATATTGTACTTTAACATTTTGTTTAATAAACTCTTGGGCTGCATATGGTGGTGGTGCATGCTTTTAATCCTAGCATACAGTAGGCAGAGGCAGGTGGATCTCTGAATTCAGAGGTAGCCTGATCTACATCGTGAGTTCCAGCACAGTCAGAGCTACATGACTCTGTCTCAAAGAACAGAGAGAGGGAGGGAGGAAGGGAGGAAAAAAGAAAACCCTGTCTGGTCTTATCTGTTGAATGTAATGTAAAGATTATCTACTTGTATTAAGAACTAAAGTTAAGATTTTATTACTCTTTTTAATTTGTGTGTTCCCTATGTATTAAGAACTAAAGTTAAAGGTTCTTTGTTTTATGGGTGTGTGTGTGTGTGTGTGTGTGTGTGTGTGTGTGTGTGTGTACCTGTAGAAGTCAGAGAAGGGTGTAAGATACCATGGGTTACAAGTGGTTATGAGCTACTACCCCTACATGGATTCTGGAAACCAAGGGCTTCAAGTGTTCTTAACAACTGAGCCTTTTATCTCTTCAGCCAGGTTTCATTATTCTTATGCTTGAAAAGTAAAACTTTTTTTTTTATTGTTGTTTGAGTTGATTGACAGGTGCCTTGTTGAAGTGACATTCCTTTGTAGAGTCATTGTAGGCTGAGTCACTAAGTTGTTTTAGTATTCTATAGGCTGTTTTTTAATCTATTACATGCTTCTACTGCTAGACTACAAAGCATTTGTGACCGGGAGTCACGTTTAATTTGTCTTTTTGTTCCAAGCATCTATCATAGTGCCTTGAGTGTCATGGATGTGTTGAAGTTGATGTTACTGAATCTACATACAGACAAACAGGTTCTTTTCCTGGATAACATTACTGTTTTTAGTGAATAAGCATGCATTTGACTATAAATTTAGTTTTCTGTGTTTGCCATATTTTTTCTTTGGCTTCTTTACATAAAGTCTGCTCCTAAATATGTGGTCCAGCAGATGGATGGATAATCCAAAATGAAATTATCCCCAAGCTTTCATGTTTGGCTTTTAGCACATACTTTTGTGAATATATCTGCTATTGGAATTACCTAAAATCAAATTACCTAAAATAATACAGAGCAATTACCTTGAACATCTAGAGTAAGAAAAGAAAGCCTTCCAGTATAACTTCTTGCAACCCATTTGTCCCATGTTGAGACTAGACGTACAGAATATTAATGTGAACATTTCAGCCTCTCATATTTTCCATATTATAATACAGTGATAGTAATAATATCAATAATAGCCAGGTCCTTTTTTTTATAACTTCTAATTTATCCAGAGATACAACAAGACAGGAAAGTGAGATAAAGAGACTTAATTGGTATTTATACTTGTAGTCACAGGAAAGGGACCAGAAAAATGCATTCTTTAGATACTCATATAGTTTATACTAACTTGTAAGTATCCATTAATATCTGTGTAAATGTTACCAAATTAAAGCTATGATATTTCATTGGCAAATAAACATCTAACTAAATTCCATTTAACTGGTAAGACCATTTAATCAGAAACTCGGGCAATGAGTAGAGACACTTGCCACCCCACAATGCAAGTCTGATTACCTGATTTCAATTCATAGAACCCATATAAACATAAAAAAGAGAGAATCAATTCCTGAGTTATTCTTTGACATCTACATGTGCACCAAGTATGCACACACACAAAATAAACTTCAAAGAATATAATAAATGGAAAATATATCTAATTGCACCATATGTTTACTATTTTAATAATGATACTTGACCTTTTGAATTCCGACTCTTTGTAACAGCTTATTTAGAATATAATTCATGTATCAGACATTTTTTCATTTTAAGTGGTTTTATTAACATTCAAAATTGTAAAAATATCTTATACAATTTTAGACGATTTGCATTGTCATTAAAAGAAAGTATATCTATTAACAGTGACTATATTTGAGCACCACTCCATACAATCTTTAAATCTCTTCCTTATGAATTTTCCCATTTTGAAAATTCCATGTAAAGAAAAACATATGTCATATATTCTTTGAGGATTTATTTTATTTGGGATAATGTTTCCCAGGCTCATCTATCTTGTAAGCATGCTTCATTCCTTTCACGACTGAACATATTCCATTGTATGTATATTTTCATTCATCACTTGGTGGCATTTGATTTAATATTTCTATCTTCTTTGAAGAGATACCTGCTTGTCTATTTTGTTGTTTGCTTATGCTTTGGATGGCATATTTAAGAAGTCATTACCCACCTGGGCAGTGGTGTTGCACACCTTTAGTCCTAGCACTCCAGAGGGAGGCAGAGGCAGGTGGATCTCTGTGAGTTCAAGACCAGCCTGGTCTACAAAAGCTATTTCCAGGACAGCCTCCAAAGCCACAGAGACACACTGTCTCAAAACCAAAAAGAAAAAAGAGAGAAAGAGAGAAGTCATTGCCCGCAGGCGTGGTAGATCTCTGTGAATAGTCAGCCTGGTCTATATAGTAAGTTCCAGAACAGCCAGTGCTACATAGAGAGACCCTCTCTATCTCAAAAAAAAGTAGAAGTCATTGACTAACCCTCATGGTGTGAGATTTTATTTCCATATTTTCTTCTTAGAATTTTATAATTTAAAACTTGAGATTTAGTCCTTGGTGTATGTTAATTTTTTATGTTTAACATGAAGTAAAGTTTCTAATTCATCCATCTATATGTGGATGTTGGCTTTTACAGCACTGTTTAAATGTTGATAAAACTGTTGTTTCTTGAATTGTTTTGGCACTCTTGAAAAACAAAGCATTTGGTCATAAATGTGAGCACTAAGGCTAGAGAGATGGTTCAGTATGTAAAATATTTGTACAAATGGGAAAGCTGAAGTTTTGGATCCCTAACATACACATAAAAACATCTGGGTAGCCTTGGTGGTCCAATTGTAGTCCCAGAATGTGGAAAGAAAAAACGGGGTTCCGAATACAAACCAGCTATTTAGACTAGCCAAATCAGCAATCTCTGTGTTCAAGGAGAGAGCAATTGAAGAAGACACCTGATTTCAAACTGCAGGCCTCCACATATACACATGTGTGCAACCACATACAAACACATTTACACATATTAGATAACTAAATGTGAGCCCTTCGGGGCAGTGTTTTTTGTTTTGTAAGATTTATTTCTTTATTGTTTATACAGTACTCTGCCTGCAGGCCAGAAGAGGGCACCAGATGTCATTACAGATGGTTGTGAACCACTATATGGTTGCTGGGAGTTGAACTCAGGACCTCTGACAGCCAATGTTCTTAACTTCTGAGCCATCTCTCTAGTCCACAAGCACAGTTCTCTTGGGGAGTGTGGGGAGTGGGTTGGTTTTTGATTTTTGGTTTTAGGTTGGGTGGGTTTTTTTGGTTATTGGTTACTATTTTCGTTTGGCTGGTTGGTTGGTTTTGTTTTGTTTTTAGACAGGGTTTGTCTGCCTTGGCTGTCCTGGAACTCACTCTTTAGACAGTACTGGCTTCAAACTCACAGAGATCTGCCTGCCTCTCCCTCCCAAGTGCTGGGATTAAAGGCATGTGCCACCACTGCCCAACCAGGTGTTATTTTTAATGCCACTTTACCGGTCTAAAAATACATCCTGCCTTTGTTTTCATAGGTTACTATTCGAGCTTCTCTTGGATCTGCTCAATCAAGATCATCAAGCCCACCTTCTAGTCCTGTTCCAAGTACTTCTCTTCAAGTCTCAGCTTCAGAGTCTACAAGTACAACTACTAAAACCAACTCAAAAGTGCTTGCAAGTAAAAGTAAGATAAGTAAGACTCAGACAGTTGTAACCAGAGTATCTAAATCCAGTACAAGTAAACCAGGTCCAAGTGCAACTAAATCCAAAGTCAAGCCCTCCTGCAAGCAAAAGAAGCACCGCACCAGGAAAGACAAATTGAGTATAGCTTTGCAGAACTTGAGGTAACTATCTCTATTCATTCATACTAACTTAACCATGTCACAGAACATTCGTAAACACTTACATGACAATTTTTTATTATGTAGTATAAGCAGATAATTAAATGGTACTTTATTATAACTACTAAATAGAATTTGAACTGCTATGTTTATACTGTAATTGTAATCTTTTTGGTTTTTTGAGACAGGGTTTCTCTGTATTGCTTTGGAGCCTGTCATGTCCTGGAACTAGCTCTGTAGACCAGGCTGGTCTCGAACTCACAGAAATCCACCTGTGTCTGCCTCCTAAGTGCTGAGATTAAAATCCTGAGCCACCAATGTCCGGCTCACTACTCTTAAACTTTGTATTTTTACCTAATGGCATTAAATTGCTTAGCTTAGCCTTTTTCTTTCTTTTTTTCTTTTCTTCAAGACAGGATTTTTTTGTGTGTGTGGCTGTCCTGGAACTCATTTTGTGGACCAGGCTGGCCTCAAACTCCCTAAGATCTGCCTGCTTCTGCCTCCCCAGCTCAGGGATTAAAACCCTGTGCCATCACCACCCAGTTTAACTAAGCCTTTTTATTCTAGGGAAATACTTACATGTGTTAAAACTTTTTACATCTGTACTTAGCTTATTGCTTCAAAGCAAATTTTCAAAATGTAAATACCTATTTGATGTTCTTTTTAAAATTCTTTTGTAATACAATACATCCTGATCACAGTTTCCCTTCACTCTTCCCACGTCTCTCCCCTCTCCTCGCCTCTTCTCCATTTCCCTTCAAAAAACAACAGGCTTCCCAGAGATATCAACCAAACATGGCATAACACGGTGCAATAAGACTAGACACAAGCCCTCATATGAAGGCTGGTTGAGGCAACCCTATAGGAGGAAAAGATTCCCAAGAGCAGACAAAATAGTCAGAGAGAGTCCCCACTCACACTGTTAGGAGTCCCACAAAAAATCCAAGCTAAAGAACCACAGCATGTATGCAGGCTGAGTCAATGGTTGCTGCTTCAGTTTCTGTGAGCCCCTATGGCCCCTACTTAATTGATTCTGTGAGCCGTATTCTCGTGTCCTCAAGCCCTTAGGCTCCTATAATCCTCCCTCCCCTCTTCTGCAGGGTTCCCTGAGCCACAGCCTAATGTCTGGCTGTGGGTCTCTGCATCTGTTCCCACCAGCTGCCAGAGGAAGCCTGTCTAATGATGATTGGGCAAGACTCCAATCTATGAATATAGCAGAATATCCTTAGGAATCATTTCATTGACTTTTGTATTCATCATTCTTGTTTGGTTTTGCCCTAGGTCTCTAAGCCATCCAGCTTCCAGTTCCTAGCCTTCCAGTCAGTGTTGGGTCTGGATGGACTCCCTCTCATGGCTTTGGCCTCAACTTAGACCAATTATTGCTTGGCTACTCTCAAAATATTTTACATGTGTTAGATTTTTGCATTCCTTTTTAGCTTAATTGTTTCAAAGCAAATTTTTAAAATTTAAATAACTTTGATAATCTTAAATATCATTGTTTCAATTAATTGTTATTTTGTTGTATGACATATTTTTATCCTTTTTTCTGTCTCTATAAGATGTCACCAGGGAATTCACACATGTATTGAGTGCTGTTCCAAAATAAAAGATTTTCCAAGCCACTTTTCTGCAGATATGCATTGTGATTTTTGCAAGTACACCACTAACTGTAACAAAGCCTTTACAAGTCATAAGAGGTAAGTTGAACATATACCATGTAAGTCAAAATTACCTTTCAGAGCCGGGGGTGTAACTTCCTGGTATATATACCATTATCTAGCATATGTAAAGCCCTAGGTTCAATCCCTAGCACCAAAAAAAAAAAAAAAAAAAAAAAAAAAAAAAAACTTGCCATCCAGGTTTAATTGTTAAATGCCTATAATCCCAGCACTTGAGACAGAAGCAGATGGATCAAGAAAGATAGATAGATCAAGGCCCCAAGGGCTATGTCAATAAGTAATTAAATATTTTATATATGAGGTAATATGTTACGGTAGCCAGAAACAGGATTTTGTAAGTCAAAAGTATATATGAAGTTCTAGGACTAAAGCTAAAGTACCAGGAGGCCAGACTGATCACCAAGGGAAGAAAAAAGCCAGAGTCATCAAAATATGTGGCTGGATCCTTAAAAGTGACCTACTATGTACTGAAAATAACAGTGATCTTGTATAATAATGTTCAGGAAAAGCTAGTTGTGGTAACAAATGTATTCAATCCTAGCACTCAGGAGACAGAGGTAGGCAGTTCTTGTGTGAATTTGAGCTAGACTGATCTACTTAGAGATCTTTAATTTCAGCTCATGGGTTTTGTTTTGTTTTGTGTTTTTTGTTTTTTAAGTATCTATTTTAAGCTGGAAAGATGACTCTGTGGTTAAGAGCACTTGTTGCTTGTTGTTCCAGAGGACTAGAGTCAATCCCAACACCCACATGGTGGTCCACAACTATCTATAACTCCAACTTCAGGGAATCCGATGGTCTCTTCTGGCCTCCATGGGCACCAGGCATGCAAGTGGTACACAGTCAAACATGTAACCAAAACACTCATAAAAAATAAGTCTATAAAAAAAGAATAAGAAGGAAAGAGAAAGAAGGAAAAGGAAAGAAATTAAATGAGAAAAAAATAACAGGTGTCAGCAAGAACAAGTATTCTGGGGAAAGCCCAGTCCTCATACCACCTTCTCACTATGTTGTACAATTGAGGGACAAGCTAGCTCTCTTTGGTCTCTTTATAAGGGACACAAATCCTATGTGTAAGGATTCTGCTTTCATGACCTAATTACTTCCCAAATGGTTTCTTCTAATGCCATTACATTGATTGAGATGAAGGGGTTAGGATTTTAATATATTAATGGATGGGTCCTTCCTCGGACCATACCAGGATCAATATAATCTCATTATTTATGTCATTAACTTCTTTCCAAAATTAAGAAATTAAGCATAGACTTGAAAATATGCCCATAAAATTAATATGATTTATTCAATAAAATCTTGTTTGTCTTTTGTCTATCAGCTGTCATAGTGACCACCCAAGTAAACAGTTTTATATTTTTAAGAGACATTCAAGAACTCTCAGGTAATTAATTGATCCTTTTCTGTTCTTTGTATTAAATAGTTGTACTTAAATTTTTTAACCTGGTGTTGGGATACCTAATTCAAAAATCTAAATGATTGTCACTGAATATGATAAGAATTATGTTTGTTATGTTCTTAGAACAAAGAAAGGAATATCCTATCATGACTAAGCTCTGTTTAAGTGAGGCCAGATACTGAATTGTAAAATGAAAGTAAACGTCTCTTTAGCATTACTTGATTGGGAGTAAGTTTATTAAAATGTTATAATATTTGAAATTAATATGTAGTGTTTGTAAATCTCAGCTTTATTCTGTACTTCATTATGTGTATATGGGTGTCTTGCCTGTACCTATGTCTGCATGCCACATGCTTGTCTGGTGCCTATGGAAGCCAGAAGAGAGCTCTGAATCCCCTGAGACAGAAGTTTCAGATGATTGTGAACCACCATGTATGTTCTGAAAATTCAGCTTGGCTCCTATGGATGAGCCATCTGTCACTCTTACTCTTTATGGAAAAGAAAGTATACAACTTTCTTGTATACACAAAGAATGTTTGGTCACTGTTTCAAAAGGTATTGATTCTGCTTTTGTTCAGAATCAACTACGTATTGTGGGATTTTTTTCACATTCTTCTGATAGTTTTTTTTTTTTACTACATTTTCTTTTTTTTTTTTGTTATCCCACTTATGTTGTCAGACATTGAATTGTGCCTAGCACATACATAATAAACAGTTAAGTTAGAATATGTATTAAAAATATGTATCAATGATATTAGGTCAGTAGCTCATAAAAGAAAGTTTCATGCCATTTAGTAAATACATAGATACACATACATCAAGCTGGAGAGGTGAATCATGGGTTAAGTGTACTTGCTGCTCTTACAGATGATGAGAGTTTAATTCCTAGCACCCATGTCAGGCTTATCATATTGAAAGCATATATATATATATATATATATATATATATATATATATATATATATATGCGCACACTTGCAGAAGCGTGCCTATGACCCCAGCACTAGGGAGACTGACAGGATAATGGTGAGCTCAAGGCCAGCCTGATCTACATAGCAAGCTCCAAGCCAGCCTGTTACCTATCTCAAAGTAACAACAATTAATAATAATAATAAATATTATTTTTGACAGGCGGTAGTGCCACATTTCCTTAATCCCAGCACTCAAGAGTCAGAGGCAGGCGAATCTCTATGAGTTCAAGGCCAGCCTGGTCTTTAGAGCAAGTGTCAGGACAGGCTCCAAAAGCCACACAGAGAAACCCTGTCTCAAAAAAATATATTTTTAAAACATGATTGATTTAAGGAATTAGAAAAAGAAGTATATTAGATAGTACCTTTACTGAATATATTTCTTAAGTAATAGAAAACGGATTTTTAAAATACTATTTTATGTTGAACTGTTCATTCTTTTTTTTTGCTGGAGGGGGATTTGAGACAGGGTTTCTCTGTGACTTTGGAGGCTGTCCTGGAATTAGCTCTTGTAGACCAGGCTGGTCTCAAACTCACAGAGATCCACCTGCCTTTGCCTCCTGGGTGCTGGGACTAAAGGGATGCACCACCACCACCCACTGAATTGTCATCTATCATGTGTACCACAAAGTTATCAATGATGAAGATGGCTTGTTACCAATTTTCTAGAAGGTATAATTTAGCTGAGTATTGTAGTACATGCCTTTCATCCCAGTACTCGGGAAGCATAGCCAGGTGGATCTCTTGTGAATTCAAGGACAGCCAGTAAAGCACTGTCTCAAACCAATGTACAATTTATGGGGAGGATATAAAGAAGTGAACATAAGTAAATACAGTAATATCAGGAAAATTGTCATAAATACAGTGAGAATTACTCATTTCAGAGGAGAAAAAGGTTCTATGTAAAAGATGCAGGAAGAAGAAAACATGAAGTGTAGAAATAAAAAGGAGAAAGTATACATGTACTTCTGAGTCACATTGAGTAAATAGTAATGCAGTTTGAATGGAGAACAAAGTTCATGTATTAAATCAACATATGGCAAAATAAGTTTGAGCTTAGAGACATATTTTTAATTAAAAAAACAGTTTTAAGGAATTAATTAATTTTACTTTGAAAGACATTGAGAAAGTCAGAACAGGTGCTTTGAATAGAATCAAGAGTATTGAGGAAAGATTAATTTGGAGCAATATACATGGTGAGTTGTAGCTACATAAAACACAGAGTAGTTAAGGTTGTTATTTAGCAATTGATTGATTGGGCTGAGACTAGAGAGATGGAGAAGTTGTTAAAAGCACTTGTTGCTCTAGCAGTGAATCTAGGTTCAGTTCCTAGCACCTATACATGGTAGCTTACAACCATACATAATTCTAAGTTTCAGGGGCATCTTAGTTACAATTTCCATGGGCACCAAGCATGCATGTGTTATGCATACATACATGTATTCAAAACACTCATGCACACCTTTAATACTAGCATGCTGGATGCAGAGGCAGGTGGATCTCTGTGAGTTTGAAGCCAGCCTAGCTACAGAATGAGTGCCAAGACAGGTTTCAAAACACCAGAGAAACCCTGTCTTGGAGGAAAAAAAGAACACTCAAACAAAAAATGATAAACCTTTTTTTTAAACCCAAAAGAAAGAACAGAATGGCTAGTCTGATGTCTCAGTGGTTACGAGTACTGGCCACTCTTCTAGAGGACCTGTATAATTGTCCAGCACCCAAATGGCACTTAAAAATTGTCTGTAACTCCAATTCCAGGGGATCTGACAACCTTCCACAGATATACATGCAGACAAACCATCAATGAACATAAAAATAAATTATTATTCTTTAAAAAAGAAGCCCATTAGTTTAAAAAAATGCATAAAACCTTACAACAAAGCTATGGGCTATTGGGGGAAAAAAAGAACAGAAAATGGGTTCTGGAATCAAAGGCCTAAGTTTCAAACATGGGGGTAGCCTTAGCTAAGTTACTAAACCTGACCCCATCCTCTTTAGAAAAGCAGTCATTATAACATCTATTTTCTAGGGGTTGTATAGGAGAGATAGGTGTAAAACTCTCAGTTTAGTACAGTGTAAATGATATTTGAAATGTTGAGGTGTTGTTTTAATTTGAAACTCAGAAGCAAGGAAATGGCATCATAAGAGAAACAAATAATAAAGGGTAGTTTGGGGAGGAATACATGATTTTGTTGGTCAAGGACACTTTTATATATATAACACCTACTCTTAAATATAAAACAGGATGTTAAGACCAGAGCTGCAGAGAAAAAAGTCAGCATAAGGTATACTACCGGGTTTTAGAATTGTAAATAAATGTAAAGTGTTTTATATGATGAAACTAGTTGTGGTGGCAGGAGCGTCCTGAGTTCAAGATCCCACTAGGGCTAATAGTAAGGCCCTGTCTCAAAGCAAACAAAACACAAGTAAAATGTCAAGTGTGTATATGCTTTATTATTAAACTAATACTTATATAAATGACTGTGTATATGCTTTATTATTAAACTAATACTTATATAAATGACTAAATTTAAAATCTCATCCCTTCTCACTTTATTCAGACTTAAATACACTAGATTATATGCTTCATAAACTGTACTGTTTTGTTTGCTGTTGTTTCCAAAATGTCTAATAATGTGATGTGCAGAGAATGTCCTAGGGCTTAGTTTTAGTTTGTTCAAGAGACTTCATTCTGTTTTTCATACTATTACAAATGTACACTTCTAATAACACTATATAGAAGTGATCTTTCTCCATTATCTTCACCAGCATGTGTTATGTTTTGTATATTGATACAAGCCATTCAGACTTGAATGAAATGATACTTCACTGTGATATTTATTTATATTTCTTTGATGACTAATACTTTTGAAATCTTTTTCACACCTCTTGACTATTTATATTTCTTATTTAGAGATCTTTTGTTCAATTTTGTGTGAAAAAAATAATGCTGTGTTTTGTTCAAGTGTATATACACCTGTAATAATATGAAGACATGCAAGAAATAAGCAAGGTCTTCAGCCTCAATATTTTTGAATGAGTGTTATTTTCTTGTTTATCAGATAAGCCAAAGCATGGAATCTCTGTGACTTCTACAAGTTGCTAGTGGATCCAAGACTGCTTTGGGTCTCTGGATGCCAATCTTTTAGCAAAATCAAGTTGAACATGTGCAGTTTATAAAGCACTGAATGATAGCATAATGTAGCTATGGCTAAGCCAATTTCTTGAGAATTTTTTTCTTTTTAGGGCCATTAATCAAATCTAGGGCCTAACACATGCAAGGCAAATACTGCCTACAACCTAAGCCTTTGAGAAACATTTTAGATATAGATTTATAGATTTAGATTTTTTTAGATATGGATTTATAGATTTAGATTTATAACAAAACTGGGAAATGACAGTAATAGCACATAAAATAGAAATCAAGAGTTATTACATAGAAAAACAATTACTGAATTTATGTATGGATTGCCACATATAATCTGTCTTATTAGTCTTCTCTCTTTTCATAGGGGCATCACTCTAGTGTGCCTTAAATGTGACTTCCTAGCTGAGACTGCTGGCTTAGACCGTATGGCTAAGCACTTAAATCAACGTAAAACACATACTTGCCAAGTTGTGATAGAAAATGGTATGTATGTGTGTCTGTTACTTTGAATTCATGATGTATAAGCCAGTAGTTTGAATCTGTTACAGTGTGAGCTCTTACAAATTAAATTGATACTCATTCTTTGTGTATTACATTTGTAAACATAAAGCCTTCTCTGATTTCAGTTCCTGAAAGAATGTCAACTTCTGAATCCACTTCTGAGTAAGTTTAATTTTCATTCAGCACAATTCACTTTGATAGATTTTAGTGCTGTTGCAATTTTTAAATATATTGTTCATAGAAATGAAAAATATTAAAGTATTTTGTTTTTGTTTTTGTTTTAAAGCGGCTTGTTGAAATAGATTCCTGCTCTATGGAGCTCGTGCAACCTGGTGCAAGACAAGTTGGAATTTCCTAAGTTCAAAGTTCTGCAGTGTTTGCTTTTACAAATCCAGTTTCCTAAGTTCAAAGCTCTGAAATGTTTTCATGAAGGCAATTAAAACCCACAACACTAGCCCTCATTATTCAGCTCTTTTCAGCTTTCAGATGGCAGTGGATTTCTATTCCACCTTATCTTTGTGTCAGGTTAACATATCTTAACATGTACTTTTCTTCTCCAGTTGGCTCTGGAAAAAGAACTTTAGTTGCTATAGTCTTTCCTTTCTTCCCTTCACATAATTTGTGTTTCTGTCTGCTGTACTTGCCTTGACAATACTACATATCAAATAGTATAGCTGTTCTATTTTTGTCTGTTTTGTCTGCTTCTTAATTTCTTTTAAGTCTTGCTGGTCAGATAGCTGGGTTTTTCTTCATTCTTGGCCTGTCATTGTTCTATTTTTCCTATTTTTCAGATGCAGAAGCAACACAGAAATTTCAAAAAATGTCCAGTGTACTCCTGGACAGTGTCCCCCTTCGTTGGACACAACTGATGCCTGTTATGTCTTTCCAAGGAATGTGAATTGTTTGACTGTGACACCCATTTCAGTTTGTGGCCTTGGGAATTTATCAGTTCTTAGGCAGAGTTCCTTTCTACCTGATTGGCTTTGTCGATTTTGGCCATCAATGACTTCAAGGACTACAAAATTGAGCACAACTTCCCACTGGGGGCTTTGGTTCTTAAGTTTAGGGTTATGAATTGACTCTAGTCATGAAAGCCCATCAAGTCGGTGCTTTAACATCCAAATTCAAGTTTATCACTTTAGCTGCAGTCCCTTAGTCTCCCTCCAAGCATGAATGCAGTCTGAGGTGTGTGAAAATCTGTGTAGGGAGTGAAGATAAGTAATCTTACTTTCATGTTCTTGGAAAAGCAAACTTTGTGAAGTTCTAGCTCCAAAGTAAGTTACTTATGTTGCCATTTCAAGTTTGAGCCAGTATTCCAAGAGTTTTCAGTAGTGCTAGTACTTAAATTCTTGATTTTTGTCATTCACCAAATTTATTGATGTCTACTTTGTATGTCTACTTTCGTAATTTTGTTCTGTGTTTGTTAAAATGTCAAGAAAATTTCTTTAAATTTTTCTAAAATTTTCATGCAGCTACATATTGGTATTTTTCTTTTTTTTCTTTTCTTTTTTTTTTTTTTTTTTTTTTTGAGACAGGATCTCTACTATATAGATGAGGCTGACCTTGGCCTCATAAATTTCCACCTGCCTCAACCCCCCCAAGTATTGGATTTAAAGGCATGTGTGGTACTTGTTCAGCTCATTAGATACTAATACATACTCTGTCTATCTTGAGACTATCATTAACAACTTAGGGGTCGGGAATTCAAAGACAAAGAACAAAATTCCCCTTACAGATCTTGAAACAAGTTTTAAGTTAAATTGCTATTCACTTAGTTATCTTCTTAGCCATTGATGTAATTCTTTTACATAAAAATAATATATTCAAAAATATCGGGACCAAAAAATGCTCTTGTTTCTTGCCCACATATATATAGAGATGTATATTTTTTTATTTTGGTGTTTGTTTATTTTGTTTACATTGAATATAATTTTTTCTGAACAGTTTTGATGTTATTTTTTTAATAAAAGTTGTACTGTTAAAACACTCTTGGGAATTATTTTATAATAAATACGTTGGTATAAAATTTATAGATTGTATCAAATAACAAGAGGAATTGTTTTCATGTGGAAGCCTGCCTGATTTGCCTATAGACTGATATCTTCATCTACAGAATACATCTTATACTGTTTCCTTAAACACACTTAAAAGCTCACTAGTTTTGAACTATTTTATAAGCTAGCAAGAGATGGCTCAGTTGGTAAGAACACTGACGGCTCTTCTAGAAGACACATGTTCAATTCCAAGCACTCATATGTTAGCTCACAACCATCTGCAACTACTGTGCCAGAGAATCTGATGTCCCATTCTGGCCTACAAATTCTGGCCTTCAAACACACCAGGCATACATGTGGTACAGAGTTGTACATGAAGGCAAAATACCCATACACATAAAATAAAATTTGTTTTAAATTTTTGATACAGGGTTATCAATTATTTGTTCAATGTTTGTATTTCTTGTTTGGCGATTTTATAATTTTATTAGCATATTAACAACACATAACAATTTATTTCTTAATAGGTTCTAGATATAAATTACCTAGGTGCTCATTAACAAGTGAATGGGGGATGAATTAGTAAAGAAAAGGTGGTTTATTTGCACAGTGGAGTTTTTAATTGTGTCATTTGCAGGAAAACAGTTAAGTCAGAGTTAGACAATTACCACATTTTCTTTCCTGTCAGGAAAATAGGTGGTGGTGGTGTGTGAAGGGAGGGCACCATGGAAGGGAGAACCAGACAGGATGATGATGAGGCAGAAACGAGATAGAAGCCCCATTTTCTCATGTGGAACCTAAGATAAACCATTATATTTTTATGTGTATAGGTATTTTGCCTGTCTCTGCAGCTTGTGTATTCAGGTATGCTTAAAGTGTCAGCACCCCTGGGAGTGGAGTTATAGGTATTGTAAATCACACACTGTGGGTGCTGGGAACTGACACTGGGTCCTAGGCAAGAGAATCAAGTGCTCTTAACCGTAAGCCCACTCTCCAGCCCAGTCATAACTGTCTTTCATGTAAAGCATTTGGGTTTAGTTTTCCTTAAATTTCACGGAACTTATTCTTAACCATACCATGTTCTTGATCTCATACACCTTAGTTCTCTGAAATCGATGCCTTTCTTTATCCTTGCTCGTATTGCTTTTGTATTTACCACCTGGAAGAATTTCTTTCCTGAACAAGCTATTGTGTTTGTCTCCTGCTGTTTTTAATCATTCACAGCAAAATATATCTATCGCACTGTTATATATGGTGATGTGTTTAGAGAGCAGTCTTGTTTTAGAGTTCTAGGAATTGAACTGGAGAGATGAGGTTAAGAGTTCTGGGTGTCAACTAATGTAACTAATAATAATTCTCAGAAGAGACTGGAAACTGCACCAATGAAAACTAGCAATAAACCAGCACTGTGGCTATTCATAACTTTTGCTTATCATCCCCAGGTTATGCAATATCATGCTGCTGAATGGAGGACTTTATTTTGTTGTGGAGGATTGGAGGGGAGGGGTTGGTGAAACCAGCTCTCAGTGTGTAGCCCTGGATGGCCTAGAACTCACTGTATAGACCAGGCTGGGCTTGAACTCACAGAGATCTACCTGCTTCTGCCTTCAGACTACTGTGATTAAAGGTGTATGTCAGAAAACTGTAGGGTGAATCATCCTTGCTGAAAACCACTATAGAATCCTGTCTCATTTGGTAGGAAAGATAGCTCTTTTAAGAAAATTCTTTTTTGTGGTGCTCAAGACTGTACCCAAGGCCTTAAATATGCTAAGCATACGCAAGCCTTTATTAGCCCAACCAGGCCCCAAACTCTTGATCCTCAAGTCTCAATCTCCCAAGTGTTGGGATTATAGGCATGAGGCACCGTGCCTGGGAATCCATGAACCAAAGGATTTTGACTGAGCATGGTGAGCATCGGTAATCTCAGCATGATGGAGGTTGAAACAGGAGGATAGTTTGAGGCTAGCCTAGGATATATTTTAGAACCCTACTCCAAAAATGGGGAAATTTTAAATTTATTTTTACTCCATGTGCATTGGTGTTTTATCTGCATTTGTGTTTGTGTGAGGGTGTTGCCTGGATCTGGAGTCACAGACAGTCAGTCTGGAGACAGTCTGGCCATGTCTCCAAACCCCCCACCCTCAAAATTTTTTTATTGCCAGGAATTCACATCCAGAAATCTTGGCTACTTACTCAATGCTTTTAATTTTTGAGAACATGTTATATCGATAGTAAATTGGCTTTACTTTGAAATAACTAAGAAGTGTGTCCCTTTCTTGGAGATTAAAGATACTGCCACTCAGTCTTGGGGTTGTTCTTTTACCCTTGGTCTCCATTTTCTCTATGTTCCATATTTTTCATCATAATCTCCCTTATTAGAAACATCATATAGTATATTCTAGTAGGAAAGGGTTTTATTTAATTTTATTACATTTATTCATTTATTTATTTAGTCACATATTATGTGTATATGTGTGTGCACATGCAATAGCTCATAAGTGGAAGTCAAAAGACATTTTGGGGAATCAGATCTACCATGTGGGTTATGGGGATCAGACTCAAGTTTAGCGATGGGCTTTGCCTAATGAGCCATCTCCCAAACCTAGAATAAGATATTACTATTTAGCAAATCTTCAGAGCCTCCAAATAAAATGATTGTTAGTAAATATGTAGGCTATTTAACTAGTTTTCTCTCATTGCTTGGATCACATGCCCTAAAGACAACTTGAAATAATTTTTAAAGTTAGCTTATATCTCTTGGTTACCTGTAAGTGCCACTGAATAAAAAGAAATATAAATTCAACACAGAATTACTTTTAAAACTAAATGGGGAAAGGTTGTGTGACCTTCCATTTTCATTCATTTCAATCTAAAGAATTCAGGGTTGGTGTGAGCAAGCCCTTTAATCCCAGCACTTGGGAGATAGAGGCAAATAGAACTCTACGAGTTTGAGGCCAGCAAGTTCTACATAAAAAGCTCCAGGCCAGCCAAGGCTTCATCGAGAGACTCTGTCCCAAAATAACAGATATATATATACATACACACACACACACACACACACGCATAAACACACACGGTAAATACAATATATTACAATATTACACATAAATATCCAAAAATTACGTTTCACCTAAGTTATCTTCTTTGAACCTTCTAAAATTCCTAAACAAATGATTTCCAACCATATATGAGACAACTAGGCTAACATCTTTCTGGAAGATAACATCATTTTCAGAAGTACATTTGAATGGTAGAAGTACCATTTTCTTTACCTCATTTTAGGAAAATCAGCATTTTCTTTTTACTACTGAAGATGTTTCTTGGTGGTGGTTGGGTTCTTTTTTGAGGGGGAGGAGCAGGGAGATGGGATTTGGGGTGCTGGGTTTTTTTTTTTTTTTTTTTTGTGCTAGGGCTTCATGCATGCTAGGCAGTATTCTACCACTGAGCTATACCCCAAGCTGGAGAATATTCTCACATAGCCCTCAGGTTGGCCTCGAACTTGCCACTATCATACAATGTTTTTGTTTGTTTTTTGAGACAGAGTCTACATACCTTTGGCTGTCCTGTGAATCACTATGTAGACCAGGCTGACCTTGAACTCACAGAGATTCTGCTGCCACTGTTTCCCAAATGCAGGAAAGATCTTAGCCACCATGCCTGGACAAAGGGTAATCTTGAACTTCAGGTCCTACTGCATCCTCCTCCTGAGTGTGGAGATTAAAGGCATGTGCCATTATTCCTGGTAATGGGAATTGAACCCAAGGCTAGGCAAGCACTTTACCAAACTGAGCTATATCCGTAGCTCTTGTGGAATGTTAGTTTGAAATGTGTTACAATAGGTCATGCTGTGGAGTATTTGTTTAATGATGCAAAGATGGGTTGCATTCTTGTATGGTGCATTTGTTAAACTCTGTAAATTAGTGTTATTTTCCTGCCTAAAACACCTGATTGGTCTAATAAAGAGCTGAATGGCCAATAACTAGGCATGAGAAAGGGATAGGTGGAACTGCCAGGCAGAGAATAAATAGAAGGAAAAATCTTGGGAAGAGAGCAAAGAGGAGGATCAAGGAGTGAAAAAAGGAGAAGAGGGCACCAGGGTCCTGCCACACAGCCACACAACCACACAGCCAGCCATGGAGTAAGAAGAAAAGAAAGTCATATATAATAAAGAAAGAAAAACTGGTAAGGCACAAGGCAAGCTAAGGCCAGGCATTCATAAGTAAGAATAAGTCTCTGTGTATTTATTTAGGAGCTGGGTCGTGGGCCCCCAAAGAGTAAAATAACAAACTACACCTAGCCCCTGAAGCATTTTCCTTATCAGAAAATTTGCACTATTCAAAGCTGACTTCTGATCTGTAGACAAATGTGTAATCCTTATCTAGTGATCTAAATCTTAATTATCTTCAGAGTTAGCTTAATATGCATATGTCCATTAAAAGTAGTGCATGGTCCTAATTTTTGCAAGAAGTGTTTGTAAAATAGCTCTATGTTTCAAAAAAAAAAAAAAAAAAAACTAGTTCCTAGAATTCCCTTCCCTGGCCATTGTCTTCTAGAGTGTTCTGATCTTCATATTGCCTATGAACTCCCAAATTTTGGCCTAAGCCTGCTCTAAAGATGTTTAACCAACTCAAGTCTTGGCATCCTATATCAATCCCCATCTACTCTGCTTATCCTGAGTGACACAGATGTGGGACCACTAACCTCAGGTCCAAGAGCATTTCCTTCTGTCGGGTTTGAGAAGGAACCAGGTAAGAGAAGTATGCATTGTGCTTCGGGCTGTGCAGTTAGACAAAGCAGGGTGCTACCCTATTCCAACACTTGGCAGCCATGTAACCTTATGCAAAATACTTGGCTCAGTATGTGCCTCAGAGGCTATTGTGAGGATTAAGCATGACAGCCCTTGCTAAGACCATCATGTAGTCCTTAGATGTGGTAGTGCATGCCTGTCATCCTAGCACCCAAGAGACTTGAGGCAGGAGAATTGAGAGTTTCAGCCTGAACAGTTACATATTGAGTTCCTGGACAGCCTGAGCTCAGAGTGTTTCAAAAAGCCAAAAACAATAATATAAGAGCTGTCATTAATTCAGTGGGAGAAAACTAGAGTTAATCCTAAGGAAATACCATATCTAAATAAACCAGACTGGTCAATTTATTATTTCAAGCTGAAATCAATAGAGGACATGTAACTTCGGGAAGGACCATTTGGCCTGTGTTTTCTACATGCAGCAAGTCATAATGATCTTTCAGGAGAGATGGCCTTCACTTAGGCCTTGGTCACAAGAGACTGATCATTAAGGCTTCAGTGACCTTCAGTAAACAAACTCTGATGTAACACTTATCTTCCAGTAGTGACTATACCCCTGCCCTGTAATTGTAAGGACACCGTAGAATTTCATACCCTACCCTAGTTCAGATAACAAACTTTACAGGTTTATTGTCCTTGATCTAAAAAGTATGACTGCATCATGCTTTGATCATTTCTTCAGAATTCAATATTGTGAAAATTTCAATGTGCATGTGAAATTAAATGGAAACAAAGTCTCACCAATCAGTTCTTGGGCTCATTTATCTTGCCAAGGAACCCACACACAAACTAAGAAGAATAGAGCTAATCTCTTCATAATCTAGTCTGATACTGTTACCACTTGATGAGCCCCCCCCCAAGAACAAGCAGGGCAGTATTTGAGGCAGATGGCCTTTATTTGATTTTTTTTTTATTTTTATATTTTGGCTTTTTGAGACAAGGTTTCTCTAAGATCCACCTGCCTCTGTCTCTGCTTCTTGAGAGCTGGGATTAAAGGCATGGGCCACCACTTCCTGTCACCCCTTAATTTCCATATGCAGTTTGTGGGTAGGCTCAAATAAACCAGGCATGCATGCATACATATGTGTGTTTATATAATTTTTTTTCTTATTTTACATATCAATCCTAGTTCCCTCTTCCTCCCATGCCCCCCAACTACCTCCCATCCCACCCACCCCCCACTCCACAGGGAGGGTGATGCCTTCCAGTAGGGATCATTAAAATTTGTCAAGTCATTTGGAGTAGGGTCCAGGCCCTCCCTCCAGCCTCTAGGCTAAGGGAGTATCCCTCCATGGGGAATATGCTCCCAAAGTCCTTTTGTGCACCAGGGATAGATACATCCTGGTTCCACTGTCAGAGGTCCCTTAGACTGCTCAGTCCTTCTAACTGAGACCCACGTTCAGGGGTCTCAGTCAGTCCATTGCTGGTTTCCCAGCTGTCAGTCTGGGGGTCCATGAGCTCCCCCTTGTTCAGGTCAACTGTCTCTGTGGGTTTCTATAGCCTGGTCTTGACCCCTTTTCTTATCACTCCTCCCTCTCTGCAACTGGATTCCAGGATAAACCTGGCTTCTTAACCATGGTTGTGCCTAAAGCTTTCTCTGGTTGTCTAAGATTAAACACAAAGTCACAATGCTTTCTTAATTATTGTGGAAGAAATAAGTACCAACTACAGAGGCAGAGCCAGTCATAAAGTTCATTTCTTGTTCTGGTTCAGCTGCATCCTGGCATAAGGCAATCAATATACCCCCAAAGCAACAGGACTTTACCTGGCTTCAGAGTCTGCTATAGTTAACATAGCAGGTTTATAGATTTCCCAAAAGAGAGTGAAGCCCTAGTGATTCGACAGGGCACCTTCAGGCCATTTCCTTTTGTAAGGATATCCTAGTGTCTAAGTGCCTGAGTTGAGGCCAGGATTTGTTCCTGCTACTTAGGCAAACATTCAGGAAATATTCAGAAACAGTCAGAAACCACTTTGCTACCTTCACTAACTTCACCAGCAGGAGGCGTGTGGTAGACTTCATTCCTCCGTGTAGTGTCAATTTTGTCTCTTGCATCTGGAGTGGCACTCAGTGTGGAAGTGTTTATACTCAGGATTAGTCTTCCCACGTCTCTTGAAGTTAAGAGGCTCTTAGCTACTAGTTTCAGGCAAACCGCCCAAGGACAATGGGTATGACCAAAATAGGTTCATTTTTCTAGCTTAGGGCCTGAAAGGATCCACTTCACCAGGTTGAGTTCCCTGGAAACCCAGAGTGTCCTATTCACACAGCTCTCTCTAATGCTGTGGCTCAAGAAAGACAGTTTCTGATTTTAGAGCTTGTCAAAAAGCTTAAGGAAAACTATACATATACAGACATGAGGACAACACAGAATCATCTGTGTACCTTTAAGATCCCAATTCCTGAACAACACTTTAGAACTTCTAGATAGAGTGCTTTGGAAATCTCTACTGTAACTAATTGAGATCCTGCAGTTAGCTCAAACTACATTTAAGAACCACTAATCCAAGAAAATCCCAGATGAGATATTTCATCAGTCCTGATGCCCCTGCACAGCCCATAGGGGCACAGACAACCGAAGGACTTGGAATCAAAACAAGGCTTTAACACAGGTGGTTGATCTGTGTAAATTGTGCTGGCATCATCAAGAAACTTAAAGGTAGCTCAAGAGCCTAACTGGCCTTTCCAAAAGAAGCAAGTACCCTTCCAGGAAAATGATGAGGGATGGCCAATGGAGAAAGTATCTATGAAGGGATGCAGCAACTCTGTCCCCATAGTGTTTCAAGATAATAAACTCTACCTCTACTGGCATTTGCTAGGAAACGTGGCAGAAATTAAACATTGCTTTCTAGAAAGCTGTCTGAACACAGCTGTGCCTTCCCACCCCAAGTGGACTTAAATCCCTTTCCTAGGTTTAGGCAGCTATTCTGGAGTAAAGATCTTTTCTGGCCTTACCCTGGGCAGTGGTGCTCAGATCAGCATCTGGCCTTGGACTCTGATGATTTGAGGTTATGGTCCTTAACATCACTGACCTTGGCCACAGTACATCACATGCTGGATACAGGCCTCTGAGCAAACAAGTACAGCTGAGTCATGGTTATAAGATATTCAATCATGGTAAAGCATACTAACCGGGGTTTCATTAGTCAGCAAGTCAACAGACAACAGAACCTGAGCTCTTTTGGTAAAATGCAGAGGCAAAACATTGGGTAGGGACAACTGACAAGAAAACCAACTCTAACTGGGATACTAAAGACTAGGATTCATCTTTCTAGCACTCTGTTGTTGAATTCTTGTTTTGTAACTGGGTCACCAGGCCTGTGAACATAGGAGATGTGTCTTCCTGTAACAAATATTCCATGGCATCCTTTGCATAATGTGTATCTGTTACCTTGATCCTTTCTCATCCAAGAAAGGGCCACAGGGGGGAAAAAAGATCTCATGATTAAATGTGTGAAGAATGCAATTTTTGTGACAGAATTGGAATTGTGAGGCAGCCTACTTTTATACTTTAGAAAAAGGTGAAGGAAAATCCAAGGCACGCACCAAGGGAATGCAGGAAATGTTAAGTCCACATCTCCTTTCAAGACTTCACAGAGCTAGGTGAAGTGATACATACCTTTTAAGTCCAGCACTTGAGGGGCAGAGGTAAGAGGATCTCTGTGTTTGAGGCCATCCTGGTCTACATAGCAAGTTCCAGATTAGCCAGGACTAAATAGATCCTGTCTCAAAAAAAAAAAAAAAAACAAAAAACAAAAGTCAGATGTAGTGGCACATGCCTTTTAATCCCAAACACTCAGGAGGCAAAGGCAGGTGAATCTCTGTGAGTTCAAGGCCAACCTGGTCTACAGCCTCCAAAGCTACACAGAGAAACCATGTCTTAAAACAAAACAAAAAAAGAAAGTTAAAAAAAAAAAAAAAAACACAAGCAAAGACTTACACAATTTTCAAAAACCTCTTCTTGTGGCTAGGGATGTAACTCAGAGATAGAGCTCTTTGTTATCAGATGCAAGGCCCTAGCTTCTACCTCAGTACTCCAATCAAACAAAAAAGTCTTCCCGGAAGAAAGCAAGACATACAGGCATGTGATAATCTATACAAATTTTATTTTGATATTTGTTTGTATGGAAACAAGCAGGTGTCAGCATTATGCAGGCACAGAAAAAGGGAAAGAAAAAAACCTCCAGTGCTAATTCTCTTGTATTTACACCATTTGGTTTCAACAAGGACAGGAAGCTTTACTGTTAGCTTCCTGTGGGAACTCCAGTTTCTGCACCTTGCCTTGCTGCCTCTCAGAATCACGATACAACAGGGATTTCTGGGCCTTTAGTCGGCAAGCCAGGCACATGAAAATTGACTCCACGTTCTGGCTTTCTTTGGGGTCCTTGGCTGATGTCTCAAACAAGAGCATGTTGTGGGCATCAGCAAATTTCAGGGCTAAGTTGGAGGGTACCTGGATCTGTTCCCTCAAGTCACACTTGTTACCCACGAGCACCTTTGGGACTAGTGGGGGCACAGCATGCCCATTGCATTCTTGGATCCACATTTTTAAGTTGGTGAACGAGGTCATCTTGGTGACGTCATAGACAAAGACCACAGCATGTACATTGCGGTAGTAATGCTCCACCATGCTTTTACGGAAGCGTTCCTGTCCTGCTGTGTCCCACACCTGAACCTGCAACAGAAACCCATATGTGAAGTTGGAAAAGGAAACATGAGCAGATGAAAAGAAAACATAGTTTTAAAGCATTAGAAAACAAGGTTACAAGTTCTGATATAGCAGATTAGCAGAATGGACCTACCAAAGCTCAGAGAGAACTTTTAGAGTTTCCTACGTTTTTTTTCTTCTTAAAATTGCTGAATGAAAATACAGAGTTGAAAAAATCTAAAGGATTGTAGTTTAAAAATAGTACACAAGGATTGGAGAGTTGGCTCAGTGGTTAATATCACTTGTTGCAGAGGACACAGGTTTGATTTCCAGATCCATAAGGTAACTCACAACTGCCTGTAACTACAGTCCCAAGGGATTGGATGCCCTCTTCTCACCTTGGCTAGCACCAGGAATGCACATAATGCACTTTACATACATGCAAGCAAAACACTCATACACAAACAATGGATCTTTTAAAAATAAAAATAGTGCTGGGTGGTGGTGGCGGAGGCGCACGCCTTTAATCCCAGCACTTGGGAGGCAGAAGCAGGTGGTTCTTTGTGTGTCTGAGGCCAGCCTGATCTACAAATCGAGTTCCAGAACAGCCAGGACTACACAGAGAGAACCTGTCGTGAGAAACTAAAATAAATAAATAAATAAAATAGTACACAAATTGGTCAAAATTTCTTGAAGGCAGTGTGACAATTTCACCAATAATCTTAAAAATAGTCACAACTCTTAAAACCTGTAATCCTACTTCCGGGAATCTATACTAAAGCCATTGAAAAGATGCTCTCAAATTCTGTGAAAACATCTTGATCACAATGTTCTTTTTTACTGAAGGAAAAAAATGTTCACAATGAAAGGAATAGCGTATACACACAAACACACACTAAAAGTAATATTTGCATCAATTCACACCTGAAATTCCAGCACTCAAGTGTAAGGCAAAACATTGCTGTGAGTTCAAGACCAAGCTAGACTACATGAAAAAAAGAACCCTGTCTTAAAAGACCAGAGAGAAAAAGTGAGAGAGAGAGGACATATAATATTTTTCAGGGCTGGTATGTTCAATTTTTAACTGGCCCCAAATATTGCTTCATATGATATAATCTCGATTTTTAAAAAACTTAAGCACAAACATATTTGTAGAAAAGTCTAGAATTATATATACCAGAATGTTAATGGCTATTTGAATATAGATTTTTGTTTGTTTGTTTGAGACGGGGTTTCTCTGTGGTTTTGGAGGCTGTCCTGGAACTAGCTCTTGTAGACCAGCCTAGTCTCGAACTCACAGAGACCCACCTGCCTCTGCCTCTCCAGTGCTGGGATTAAAGGCCTGCACCACCACCACCTGGTGAATATAGGTAAAATTTGTTGTTTTGTTTTTCTCTTTCCCAAATTTTCTAGTTTAAAATACATGTTACTTTGTAGTGTTTTCTTTGTCATTGTTGTTGTTTTGAGACAGTGTCTTAACATACATATAACTTAAGCTGGGCTCGTACAAGTGATCCTCCTGCCTCACCTTCCTGAACTCTGGGATTATAGGCACGCAACTTCTTACCTAACTTTGTATTTCAATATTAGGAAAACTAAAATGAGTCAGGCCAGATTAAGCTACAAAGCAAGTTGGACGCCAGCCTGGACTATATGAGAGCCTGCTTTACTCCCATCAGAAAATTAAAAATAATGTTAAAAATCTCCATTGCCAGCCGGGCAATGGTGGCACAAGCCTTTAGTCCCAGCACTTGGGAGGCAGAGACAGGTGGATCTCTGTGTTCTCAAACCCAGCTGGTCTACAGAGTGATTTCCACATGGGTGTCAGATAGGAGGACTGGGCAGTCTATGGGGCCTCTGGTAGTGGATCCGTATTTATCCCTGGTATACAAATCGACTCTGGGAGCCCATTCCACACAGAGGGATACTCCCTAAGCCTAGACACTTGGGGGAGGGCCTAGGCCCTGCTCCAGATGATATGACAGACTTTGCAGATTCCCCATGGAAGGCCTCATCCTCCCTGGGGAGCAGAAAGGGTATGGGATGGGGGTTGGTGTGGGAAACAGGAGGAAGGGAGGGTGATAGAACTGGATTGACATGTAAAACAAAGCTTGTTTCAAATTTAAATAAAAAAACCCTATTATCATAATTTAAAAAAAAAAAAGAGTTCCAGACAGCCAGGGAATACAGAGAAACCATGTCTAGAAAAACAAACAAACAAACAAACCCTGGCCATTTAGCTGTATTTGTTATTTAAATGACATCTCATTTAAATAATAATAAAGGCTGACTTCAAATTCATGATTCTCCCTCCTGTATCAACCATCATGGTGCTGCAATTACATGCTTAAGCCACCATGCCTGTTTTTCAATTTATTTTTAAATTCACTTCTTTGTTATATAAAAGATAATTTAATTCACTCTATTTTTCTTCTGTATCTTGGCTTTTGGGATAAAAGCCAATTTATGAAGAGAAAAATCTGGTATCAGTAACATATGCACAGACAAAATTCCCAGGAGGACTACTCTGGGATTCAACATATATTCAAGCCCAATTTTATTTTCTATGATATGTTCAGGGTCTGGAACAACAGATAGTCATGCTCAAAATGATGATCTTAAGACCCTATAAAATTCTCAGTTATTAGCCAGGTGGTGGTGGCACATGCCTTTAATCCCAGCACTTGGGAGGCAGAGGCAGGTGGATCTCTGTGAGTTTGAAACCAGCCTGATCTACAGAGTGAGTTCCAGGACAGCCATAATTGTTACATGGAGAAACCCTGTCTTGAAAAACAAAATTCTCAGTTATCAAACAAAAATTTTTGTGGTCACTAATTTGACTACTGGGACTCTTCAAATGAATTCTATCGTGTTTATTTGGAATTAGCAATCAGTGAGTATAATCTATGGAATATAATTGAATCTCTTTGCTGAGTGAAGATCTTATAAGACTGTCATTGTGAACATCAGTTTCCACTGTCCTGGCTCTCCTTCATCATCCTCCAGGATCTTTTGGTGACACTTTTGAAACTGCATTTTTTATTTGGGTTTTTCTTTGACAGACGCCTGGCCTTCTGTCTCAGCCTCCTAGTGCTAAGGCTGCTGATATTTGCCTCCAACCTCAGCTTCTATTTGGACTCTCAGGGACCCTGGTTCTGCCCCTCCTTTCCCTTTTTCTGGACTACAACAGTTGTTTGGTTTCTGGTTGTCCCTATTCCATTGTCCCCTGAATGCTGCTGTCACACTAGCCACCTATATCCCTGCTTGTACCTGTATATCATCTTCCTCTTCAGGAAATTGTGGTAGCCATCTCCTGCATGTGGTGTCTAATGGGAATATTTAATCCGTCTTCATTTGACCCATCACTACCTAGGTTCAAGATACTTGGCCACATCTTTTTCTGTTACTGTGGTCCACTAGTCCACCCTTCCACATTAGATCCTTATCTCAATCTCATCCATTCTTGAAGACTCAGCTTATACCTCTACCTTTGTCCTCAAATCTTTCTTTGGGGGAGGAGGGCTTCTTTTGAGACAGGGTCTCTCTATTTAGTCCTGAAACCCACTATGTAAACCAAACTGACCCCGAATTCACAGAAATCCACCTGCCTCTGCATCCCAAGTGCTGGCATTAAAGACATGGGCCGCCATGTCTTTATTATTTTAATTGTAAAGATTTATCATTTTATTACTTCTATTTTATGTATGGGTATTTTGCCTGCACCTATGCCTGTGCACCACATACATGCAGTGCTTACAGAGGCCAGATGAGAACAACAGATACCCTGGAGCTGGAATTACATATGGTTATCAGCTACCATAAGGGTGCTGGAAATGGAACCCCAGAGCTCTGGAAAAGCAACCAGTGCTCTTAACCACTGAGACATCTGTCCAGTGTCCCCATTTGCAAATATTTTCTTTTTCTTTTTTTTTTTAAAGTTAATTTATTTTTAATACATATAATGTTCTGTCTGCACATACATGTGCATGCCAGAAGAGGGCACCAGACCCTGTGAGCCACCATGTGGGTTCTGGGAATTGAACTCAGGACCTTTGGGAGAGCAGCCAGTGCTCTTAACCTCTGAGCCATCTCTCCAGCCTCTCTAACTTTTCTTAGGAAGATCGATTGCTCTTAGGGTCTACATCATACCATTCTGAACACTTGTGTGTTCTCAGTTTCACGGATGCTGCTGCTGGACCCTTGCTGACTAAACTGTGTGGAGGCAGTGTTTTTCAGCTTTGGAATGTACATCATTGAGGTGGTGGTGGTGGCAGTGGTGATCTAAAGCAGTCTTGGCCTGAGCCACTAAAACTACCAGCAGTCGGACAGCTCAGCTATCTGTCAAAGCCATTTCAAAGAAAGCACAGCATCTGACTTTGGTTACAAAATCAAAAAGTCTCAGAAGACTTTTTTGTTTCTTTGAGCAGACACACACACACACACAAAAATATTTTTATTCATTCTATCTCTCTGGTGCTCTGAACAGCAATAAAGAGAGGTGGATGGGGTGAGGGCTGGAGGTTGGGGGGTTGAGGGTGGGAAGGAAACAGGCCTAGTACGGGAATATCATTTCCACTTGGCTCCAGATCTCCACTTCCCACCCCCACTCTCTGCTAGTCTTAATTCTTGCCTCCGAGTGAAGCTGAATCCCTGTCGGCCCTCAGGCTTGTGGCAGATGCTTTAACACCATGAGCTCAGGATTCTAAAAATACCTGCAGGAACATGGGTGGGAATGTGTGAGGTGTTTGAACTGAGTAAGGTTGGCTGTTTGGCTTTTCCTTGGCTTCCTAATTGTGTACACCACCCAAGTTGCCAGAACTGTAGGGAGAGCCCCTCTGCTGGAGCTGTCCTCTGCCTTTCTGAAGCTACAAAGAAAGCCTTGAAGCTTTCATGTAGAGGCTTGGGAGTTTGGGGCTAGTTATTGTTCCATTTTCCAGCTCTATAGAAAACACATTCAAAGTTTTTGCACCCCTACCTGTGATGAGACATAAGCCTGGAAGCAGGCTACTTCTAGCAGAAAACAGAAG